TGGACCATTCAGGGGAAATGCAACAGATTATCACATTAGATTCAACTGAGCTGCATACTGCACAATCTCCCAGGCATCTCTTTGTTACAATAACAGGAAGGTAGGTGTTTATTTGGCTTTTTTTTCTATTAAATGTTACTAGATACGACAAGTTGGGTGTCATTTTAATTGACAGTTGTATAACTTGTCAATTAAGGCTCCACGGTTTTAGAAAGATCTGTGCTTTCTGTGGGAATTCTGTTACCTCAATAATTGCAACTACTCAAATTGCAATTATGACTTGATTGTAATGTGCAACCCTTACTGTCAATAGAAAATGCTTTTATGGTTATATTGAGAAGACAGAATAGTGTTTTTTTTTTTCATTGTCACGAGGATTAAGCTTGTGTGTGCAAACTTGTCTACCCTCCAAAACATTAAACTGTAATGTTTTTGTAACTCACTAGAGGAATCCTGTTGTGCTTTTGGCTAACCTGCGCTGGAGGATGTGTGGTTCTCTCTCACAATGCCCGGTTGTGTGAAAGCATTTCATGGGAAGTCAGTGGTGAGGCTGGAGCGCATAGCGTCCAGATGTGGAATGTGGTTTTGGTCTTGTGGCCTGTCTGTTACTTGTGTCAAAGAGCAGGAATCTGGACCGTCCCCAAACATCACCACAGCCCTCGCCACGTGCCTCCTCCCTGTCCTGCTGAAGCTAACTATGCTCATGCCCTGGAAACACAATGGGACAAGTCCAGTACTCCAATATGATACAGAACTGCTGGTATGTCTGGTATTGGTGTAGACTAGATAGACCGCTATATCTGATATATTGGGTTGAGAATTGGACTTTTTCACGTATCAGCTATTGGCCTTAGCACTCCAGCACAGGTTGATATTTTGTTTTGGGTGACCTGCAGCTCAAAAAGCCCTAAAGCTTTATTTGAACACTAGTGCAAATAGATAACTGCTGAAAATGTAACTACAGCTCTTATGGGATTGTGGTGGGAAAAAAGGGCTGTGGGTGAGTTCTTAATACATTTAAATGATATAATTTGGAGGGGAAAAAAATCTAAATCAGCCCAAAAATATTAGCAAAGCTTAATCGCCATTGGTTTCTCTGTATCGGCCATAAAAAAACCCGTAGCATTTGATCTCTAGTGTATACCATAGATACCACAGTCACCATCTTACCTGTAATGTTTGCCTTTGGTGTATCTAGATTAGTGTAGCTGACAAAAACAAGTACTAAAACTAGTATCAAATTAGTGATTTGAAGCAGTATTGATCAAAATTTTATCTTTTCGAAATAGTTTTAGAATTGTCTTGATATTTAACAGAACTAGTATGTGGCTTCCTGGAAATATTAAAGAAATTACCATTATTTTGTGTGGGAAAATTACACTCTTGTCTAATGAAAAATGTTCTTTTAGTATTGTGACTGTACTGTTTATTTCTGTCCTTGCTGACTTTGACGTCTTTATTTAATACTTAGTAGTCATCACAGCGCACAGTGCAAGATCTTTAATTCCTTACAAGAATATCATGTCTGCATCATCCATTGTCTTTAATATTCATTTGTTTACATGGGAGTGGCAGTGTAGCTCTATGGACCAGGCAATATTATGCAATTAGGACCACAATAGCCTGCATTACATGTTCAGTTGTAAATGCTTGCATAAATGTTTGTTTGTGTTGCATCTAAGTTTAAAATAGCTGTACATGACATTTAATCTTATAGTGATCTTGTGTTTTCTCAAATTATTATTATCAGCAGTGACACCTTTCTGTGCTCTCTAGATTTTTGTGTTGTGTTAAATTCTTACTACTGGGCATGAGACAGTAGATTCGTTTTTAAAGTGAACAATCCATAAAGATAAAGATTGCATACACACTGTAGAAATGTACATGCTACATTCCTCACATGTTTGGCCTGTGGGTAGTTTTATGTCAAAGAGTCCCTTTTGTCTTGCTCAGATACCACACAGACACTTAGAGCTCCTTGGAGACTGAGCAGAGCTGTAGAAAATAGGTTGATAGCCTACTTGTAATTTCTGCTCTCTACTGCCTTGAAGGGTGGTTTCTTCTGGGGATCATATAGATGCTGGAGTAGGGACTGTATACTTTTAAAAGACCAGAATAAAGACTGAATATCTGAGCTGGAAAAGATGGTGTCATGAGGGGACGGGGTGGAGTGTTGTGAGTTCCTGTTTTGGAGATTGGGAAGTAGATAGAGGAGTTATGCTGCAGAATGCGAATTGTTTATATGACATTTATGTAAGCACAGATTTCCACTGAAAACATATGACATATGAGTTAACATCTAGCGTCTTTTATTTTAGAAGGAAAGAATGAAAGAAAGGAGACTAAGTTGGGTTAGTAGATTTGGCCTTGTTTTAAGCGCAGGTTTCTGTGTTTGGGAAAGTGGGTCCTCTTCAGTAACAGGCTGTACTCTCTCTCCTCTGGTACGTGGGCTTAAATGTAGGCTGCCTCTGCCTCTGCTGCTTTTGCAGTGTTGCAGTTTCTTATTTGAGTCAAGTTAACGTTTCAGACTTAGATCTAGTTCAACCTTTGTATGAACATAGATAGTGCTTATGTGACAGAATAAGGTCTTCAGAAATAGATGTGGCAAAAACCGAAAAACAACACTAAACATGCTCTGTTAAACGGTAGTATAAGAAATCGCGTTCAAACTCCAATTGTATTACATTTTTACATTTTTGTAATAAATATGAAAATATTAATATGATGTATTAAGTTTCTTTGTTAAAAGTGTTGTATCTGTTTTTTTATTCCATGTAATCATAAAATTTGTCTTGGCCCAGTACAGATATTGTAGTCCAGGGTCAAAATAACACCATTATGTGCCGTCTAGAACTAATTTTATAATAATAAAGATGTAAATAATAAATCATAAAGATGCTAGGAGGAATGTATTTAACAAAGTTAAAGTAAAATTTTAAAAAGTTAATACTATGAAAAAGGAACTAGTTAAATTGATTCTTTGCAACTGATGTCATCAACATTCCCTGAGCATGTGATATTAACTGTGAGCTCTGCTCTATCTGAAGCTCTGTTAATCAGGTAGGAATTTAATCTAAGCTTTGTTTTAACACAATCTAGCCACAAAGAACTGACTCAAAGTCCATCTCAATTTACATTGTAGTCACAGTTTTTCAGTCAGTAACTCTTATCTTTTTGTAGAACATCATACCTTCTGCTTCATCTTAAAACTTTTTTTTTTACAGAGTTTGCTAATGCATGTATTTTGTCACCACAGTAACAGCTGAACATTCCACCATACAGTTACATGTAGAACACTCCTAGCGTTATGTCACTGCAAAGTAAATAATACTGTATGGCAGGTATTTGTCTTGAAGCTATTGGCAGATACATGCTACATTCATCTTTATTTTCATTTCATATTAGAAGTGACAAAATCAATGACATGTTTCAGAAATGCAATATCAAAGTCTTGGTTCATTTGTATTACTGGTGTGGTTCAGCATTGATAAACACTCTTAGCCATCTGTCTGAGGAATGTGCACCCCTCCTTGGCCACAGGGTGTAGCCGGTGTCAGGAGGCTATTGTTGCTCCGTCAGAGTGTAACCTTAGTCCACACCTACAGCCGTGTGAAGTAAGAAAACACTGTTATTTTTGGATGCCTTCACACCAGAACCTGCTACAGTAAAGGGAATGATCTGAATCTTTGGTCAGTATAGATCCCAGGACAAGATTTAAATATAATGATTAAATTGTAACTCTGTGCTGCTGAATATACTGGGTTGTGGCCAGAGTGTGGGATAGTCTGATTGCATAACCGCCTGCACTGCATAATCCAGTGTGCTCTTGTAGTGGTGGATGAGACGAGTCCGTGCAGGAGGGTTTAATCTCTACTGGTTTTTGTTATAAATCTGTCATCACATGTTGGTCGACCTGACATGATAATTACTACTTCGGCTTATCATTCAATGTATGAAAGTTGGAAAAATATATAAAATTATCCAAAAAATAAGATTTGCGCTGTAGAGGATTAAATAACTAACTTCTATAGCTCAGTATTGGTTAATTTTGCCAATTATATGTTGCAGCTCAGGCCTTTTCACTGATGCTCTCCATTTAAAAATGATTCACTGGGATTATCTTGCCTTATTGTTATTGTGTCAGTGGCATAAAGTAGTTTCAATATTATCATTTATTTCAGTATTTCTCTGTAGCAATATATCGTGCTTCAAAATTTGTTATGTTGTACATGTTGGTCATAATACTCTGTCATAATACTCACAATAGTGCATCTACATTAACTTCACAGTAAGGTAACCCTTTTAATTGTTGGTACTTGGTGCATACAATAAAAAAATATCACATGGAAACTGAAACTGACCAGGGTGACTGTATTGTGATTATTTGTACCACTCGGATATTCAAAAAAAAAGAGAAATGCGTTTTGGTTAAGGTGTGAGATGTAATGGCCCAGTTGCAGAGGAAATGAAACAAATAAAGCCATATGTTTCGCCTCCCTGAGCTGATCATTTCTTGTTGGTGTAACAAACACTTGTTAACAGGGGCTTTTTCTCTCATTTAATTCAAACAGATGAGACTTTCCCATGAGTCATGCTATGCAGGCTCAGGCTGGTGAACTCCGTTTCCAAGAACTGCTCTGCGTCTCTACAAGAAAGGCATTCACCATCTGGGTCACCTGCATTTAACGCTCTTTCGGGCAGTTGTGGCTAAATAAAAACTCTGCATTGTTCCAAGTTATTGTCTGTGCTCACTGTCTGTCTGAACAAAACACAAGGCCCCTGAGGAGTTGTGCTACCCCCCACACACACACAAACACATGTGGTGTTATGGCATTACTAGGACAGTATTCCCCAGCTTAGCCCCATTCTTTACAACAGTACAGCCTTTCACTTAAATGCGTCATACAAGCACTCTGAATGTGCTATTACTTAATATTATGACATTATCTATTTTCATCATACATTTTGTCCAGCTAAAAACATTTGTATATCTTCTGCAGGTGGTACAGACTGAATTCAAAGACAGGGAAGAAGGAAAAGGAGCGAGGAGACATCCAAGTCACTGTGCAGTTCACCAGAAACAATCTAACGGCCAGTATGTACGACCTGGTCATGAAGGACAAGGGCGTATCCACCTTTTTTAAACTAAAGGAGCGCATTAAGGGCAAGAGGCGCTCCAGTGAAGAGGACTCCTCGTCGGCCATATTGCCCGGCGGATATGGCTCGCTGGTGCGCATGCGACAGAGGTTGCCTAGTGATGGTGGAGGAGAGGAGTACTACGAGGATGATGAGGGTGGAGAGGTCCGGAGGAGTAAAATGAGAACCTTCTTCTTGAGAGGGAAGCTGCGTAAGTCCTCAGACACTCGCTCCAGCACGTCCCTGGGCTCCGAAAGCAGCGAGTCGTCCTCCAGAGGGGGCAGCCTCAGCCCCACCGCCGGCATCAGTGTGGTGGTGTCTGATTTGTCCAACTCCCCCAGCAACAGCAGCAACCTGACTGCAGACAACAGCCCAGGTACGCTATATGCTGCTAATATGCATGCCAGTTACTGCATATGGAAATGCATGTTACATTTGTGTACACATTCTCTGTTTCTCCAGAGCACACAGCAAACACGTCGCCAAAGTTGTCCTCTCCCAAATGTGAGTTTGGGGATGAGGCCGGTGAGATCACCATCGCAGTGCCTCAGCCCAAAGTGTGCGTTAACGGAAGCCATTCTCTCAGCATCCAGCCGCTGGACTCAGGAAAAGCAGCGCCGCTCGGCCTGGGACTGTTGAAGCCTTTGCCCCTGTCCATGTCCCTCCAAAACCTCAGCCCGCGGGACAGAGACCTGCCCCTGGGCATCCTGGGAGACGGGCGTCGCTGGTCCTTCGACAAACCCGATGCAGAAGAGAAGGCGGCAATCGCTGCAGCGCTGGAGCAGAGCGGGCCCATGCAGGGAGACCCTGAGGAGGACAGTTTAGGCGCTGTGGAGGGAGACCGCCAGAAACAGAGCAAAGACCAGTCTCCACCTGCCCCAACAGAGGACAGGCACAAAGGCTGGTTTGGATCCAAGGACTCGCACAACAAACCCAGGTGAGATTTACACAGAGGCCTCTCAGTCAGTATCTCTGTTAGAAGAGCCACAGTATGAAATAATATTGACTACATTTTATATATACCTTATTTATATTCTATTATCTCTCAGGTGACTTCTGCTGTTTATAACTATCTGAAACAGAAATAAAAATACCTGTATATAGATGTATATAGATATATATAGATATATATAGATATATAGATATAGATAGATAGATAGATAGATAGATAGATAGATAGATAGATATCTATATCTATATCTATATCTCACTTGTATTGACCATTATTGTTATGGCTTTGTAATGTTATTTGAATATTAAGATGGATCTTGTTACATGTTACATGTTGTTGTGTAATTCCCTTAATTTCAATGATGGGTCCCTGAGTCACTTGACACTTAAACATTTGGGTTAAATTTATATAATTCTTATTAAAATAATAATAATAAACAATGTATAGTTCATCTCATCTGTGCAAACATCAGCTCTGTGTACATGTAGCACAGAGCTGTATTTCTTATAGTCTGCTGCAGGGATGTATTGGCTTCATAAGCACCTTGTGAGTGAGGCCAGGTCAGCTCCTCTGGACGATTGTTCACTCAATTCCTCTGGCCTCCTCTGTATACATACCCAGGGCTTACATATTGATGTGTTCAGAGATTCTTGGGGAAAATGCCAAGTTGGCACAGGTAGCGCCAAGTAATCAGCCAGACCAGCTGCAGCAAGAGTTGAAAACAGAGACACAGATGGTGCTTTTTAAATTCTCTGTCAGCTCTGGATTTTTGTAAAATATGTAGAAAAATATGTAGAATGATCAATCAATTCACAATGATTCACTCTGCTGTGCTGTGCAGTTTGTTAAAGTAGTGGTCTAGTCTGCCATTGTAAATATTGGTCAAAAGATTCTAAACTGTTAACAATAAGATCAGCATTTTTGAAAATTTGGGTCAAGAAGATTGTTAATCTCTTAAATCTACCCAAGTTTGTGATGGTCACTAATCCGGAGGACTGCTTCCTTTCACAGCCACAGCGGGGTAGTGTCACCCACAGACCCTCACTCACCCCTTCACTCACCCCCTCTCTCGCCCCCTCTTTCCAGGGGCAGCTCTGTAGATTCCTCTGGGTCCCTCACTAACCCCTTTAGCCCCTCACAGCCCTCACCTCCATCCCTGTCCCGCTCCAACCCCTTCTTCACCACTCTGCACAACCCTTTCTATAAAGACATGCCCTGCACTAAGCCCCTGAATGCTTCACCGCCTCCTCTGCCTCTCTCCAGCGCTCGTCCTCCTATAACCACGCTGTTCCCAGAGGTCGACGTGAGGTCCGGCACAGAGGGCTTGAGCATAGACTTATCTAGAATAGCACATGCCGAAAATGACGAACAAACAAAACTACACAAGAAGATCCCCAATCCTTTCACCTCAGAACCAGGGCTGGATTCAGAACTGGACCATTCCTTTGACGAGTTTGCAGCTGGCAGGCTCCAGTCTCCAGACCATCTGACCCATGAGTCCACAACACAGAATAACACACCCTACAGTGATCCTCCATTAAACTGTATTAATAAAGAAACAATGCCACTTAAGTCTGACGCTGAGATAACCACTAATGACTGTCTAAAATTTCAACCTATGCACATTTTTACAAGTTTCGACACTAAGGACACACATCACTTTTTCACTAAACTACTAGACACTATCCCAGAAAACAGCATGGAATATGACAATAAACCTTCTACTGAAACTCAACAAATATTAAACACTGATGCCTTTAATGACGTTAATGGTGAAAGTCCAGGTCAAAAGTTCAACAGCAGTTCACCTGACCCTTCATCCTCAGGCCTTGGTAGCTCAGCAGAGGAAGACGGCCTCTCCTGCTTCTCTTCCTGTTCTGCATCAGACAAAATTGAGTCTTCAGAGGAAACTGAATTACACAATTTTGAAAGCAGCTTTGAGAAAAGAAGTACAGATATAACTTCAAAAACGTTTGAGTCTGAAGAGGAGTTCACAGACAAGTCAGAGGAGATGTCTATAGACCAACAAACTGTCATTGAGGACTACAGCAAGGAAGCAATCGCAAGTAGCTCACAACCAGAAAGTACACCTTCTGTTACCAATATAGGGACTGAAATTGAGAATTGTCACCCAAATCCTGACCCAGAGCCAAATATAGATGCTTCTGAAAGTGAATTTTCTCCTATCCCTCCAGTTTTTGTCACAACCTCCTCCCCTGGGCTGTCCTACTCACTCTCCTGTCCCTTTGAAAGCACAAATGTGGCAGGACCAGATCAGCTTTCCCCTGTCCCCGTGGCACTTTTCACTGATTTTCCAAACACAAGCAGCGTAAGTCCGAGTCCTGACACCTCCCTGTTTCACACAAACGCCTCAGACAGGACCAGCTTTGCACAGAGCTTGTACGTGAGTGCAGATTCCCAGGAATATCAAACTTGTCTGACACATGCAACTTCGGGACACTCGGAAAAATCTGCAAACTCAACAACACTTTGTCTGGAGCAAAATAGTATTCAAATGGAAAATCATACAGCGACAGACCTGGACAACTTCTTCAATACCAGAAATGACAATGATTTGCAATCTGCAAGACAAGATGGAGGAGTTTTTGGTGATTTTAATCCAGCTTTTGAGACAAATTTCACAGCAATGGACAACTTCAGTTTACAAAGTCCCAAAGAGGCGGTTACGAAGGATATAGATGGAATATTCTTTGTCAAGCAAATTAACATCCAGGAGACTAGTAATACAGCTACAGGCACCGAGGACTTCTTTAATAACAAATATTCAAATGACAAAACAGTTGGGCAAAATGGAGGATTTGAGTCTGATTTTAATGCATTTGAGTCAAGATTTACACAACTGGAAATCAATTTGCAAAGTCCAAACCAGGAAGTTCCGGTGGACGCTGTATTATCAAATGGTAACAATGGGTTATTTGGTAATGTGAAAGGAGAAAAGTTTGAGTCTAATTTCACAGCCACGAAAGACTTTATTTTACAAAGCGACCCAGTCTCTACACTCAACCAAGACTTAATTGTAGAAGACGTGTTTTCAAACAATCCCAATGGAGGTTTTTTTGACGATTGGGTGGGTGCCAAGATCGAGTCGGATTACACAACTGGAACCTTCGATTTACAGAGTTCGAAAGAGGAAGTACTCGATGATATAAGCAGAGATTTATTTGATAGTGACATAATCTTTGAGTCAAACGTCACAGCTGTGGATGACTTCAGTTTCAGTCACAAACGGGAAGCCAATGATGTATATTCACAACATCAGGACCTAGCATTTGACAACATGTTTGAGACAAGTTTTACACCTGTGGATATTTCTGGTTTACAAAGTGTTACTCTACCAAAGCATGAGAGTCTGAAAGCAGAACACGCTACTCTGCAGCGTTCCCAATCCGAACACTTCCTAGTCCCGGCCTTTAGCGAGCTACAACCATCTGCATTCGGAAGTGACCCTGAGTTAACCTCCTCTAAACCCCAACCAGACCTGCTTCTCTGCTCTCCCTTCACTCCCTCTCTAACTCCTCAGTGCAGTAGCTCCCCTCTAGCGCTCTGTCCCTCTCCTCCTGTCGCCGACGCAGCCTTGCCGGGGTCGCCCACTCAACAGCAGCGGCACGAGGCAGCCAATCAGCTCGTCAGGTGAGGCCGCACATGCTCAGAAACGCTTTGGGGAGCACTTTTTCCCCTCTTCTTCCAGATTTGTCTCTATCCTGCTTTCTTCTACTCTGCTTGACTTGATTGCCGCCTGCTCTCGTGGGGTTCCTCTCTTTGATCTCACGTACAGGTGCTAACAGGACCGCGCCGCAGGTGTCGTGTGTGTCCTGGCTCCGTGGAAACGAGAGGGAAAACTGAGCCTCGGGCCAATTAGCAGTTATTATTTTGTCCTGAATCTTGCCACACGCCCTCCACCACACGCGCGCGCACACAACACACACACACACGCACACACACACACATACGCGCACACACACACACGCACACATACACGCACACATACATACACACATACATACACACACATACATACACACACACACAATAAGCCCCACTCTCCCTCCCCCTCAGCTTTCTCACACAACCTCAGTCATTTACGGAGTTCTCAGCCCGGATCGAGGCCGTGTGCAGTGGGAACAAAAGGTGTTGTTGTGTCGCCAATAGCATTTCCTTTTCACCTCGGGGTAATAACACTTTTAACATGTTTGATTGCACAAAAGCAGGCAATTAAGGCTTTCAATTTTGACTTAATTTAATTTCAATTTTCACCATTGTTTCCATTAATGAGGAATCTTACACCTGTCTAACTTCTTCTTCTTCCAGTTTCTAAAATGAACTTTCAGGGGAATTTCAGAGGTTAATCTGTACTTTCAATATCTGACTTCACACCGGAGGATCTGACACATACATCTAAAACTGTACAACAAAACCTGGCTAAACTGCAGTCTTGTAGTACTTGTTCATGCATATTAAATGTAGGTCTTTGACACAGGAAACCATCTTTCCTGTTGTTCTTGTGGTTGGGGGTATAGCACAACATTTTAATGCCAATTTCATTACATACATTACTTAAAAACTATTGGATTGGATTTAGCTTGTCATATATTGTACATTTTTTATGTTATTAATTCATTCTATTCTGTTATTGTCTCACTTAATTATTCTTATTAATAACACCAGTTTCAAAGCCGAAATATGTTAGATCAGACCTCCTGTGTGGCAGCCAGACTGGGTCCTTCTCTTCCTTCTTTGTATAAAGTCTAGTGCTACAGGTTCATGTCTAACTGTGCATTTTGTATTGGTGATCTTTAGTCCACACCCAGTGAAGCCCCTGACCACTGCCACGGCAGGCGACGAGAAGAGGACGGAGGGCCGGTCGATGCTTGAGAAGTTCAAGTTCAGAAGCCCAGGAAAGAGCAGCCAGAGCAGCGAGGAAAGTGACAAAAGGAAGGTAATAATAAAGATCAAATATCACTGAGAAATTAACGTCACCTGCTTATTTGTGTGGATATGTCATTGCTCTGCATGGAATGTTCCACGGTATGACATTAAACAGCTCTATCTTGCATTTATTCATTTAAACGTGGTTTTATAGCTCAAAAAATGCAGACAAAAATAGGCATTCTGAAAATAGGTTCCCTCTCCACAGATCTGACCTGTAACTTGGTCTGGTTTGGTCTCCATGAAGATAGAAAGGTTTAATACCATACTGTGAAACATTCCAGACAAAGTAATAATATTTTTATGTATAAAAGCATTTGATGGACCATCCACCAGAAATGTTAGACAACGCACCTTTAAAGCTTTACCTTTTTTAATTCATGTTTGCTTCCATTGGTCTGTAAAACCACTTAGTTTTATGTATTTATATCACTTTTAGTAGTTGGTAGAAAATGGTACATATTACTCATACATTACACACATGAGTCATTTGTCAGAAGATCTCATCTCTCATTTTAGTTAGATTGTAAAAATGTAGTGAAATGATTGACTTCATTAAAATAAATGTATCTAAAAGTAGAGATAATAATAGGTGACATTTAATTAAATGCTTACAAATGGAATGTACTAATTACGGAGCCTGTTTATTCTCATAGGTGTAATTGCACAAATGAATACCTTAGTATTGGCACGATGCTTACGATTTTGTAAGAAATAGACTCTATACTCATTACCGATTCTGATACCGCTATGATGCCACGATCATAATAAAAAACTATGAAAAATAAATATAAACATCTTTCTTTAGACGATAGAATATAATTTTCAACATTAAACAACAGTACTTTCTGTTATATTACCATGTGAGTTTATAACTGTGCAGTTGTCCAGGTAGGTTACATAGTGGTCCGTGCGAATATACTAGTCTGTTATAAAGCCATTCAGGAAAGGTTAATTTCTGTCCTGTGAATATGACGTTTTTAGTATCGATATCTGCTCAAATGAGTATCTAGTCTCATTACTAGTTTTAGAATGAATTTAGTATCTGATTTTTGATAGTTTTGACAAGGTTATTAAATCTATGACTGTTTTCACAGTTTTTTCTTTGTGAGTGCATTTAAAGAATAAATGCAATATTTTTGGGTAAACCCCCCTTATCTTATGTGTCACGCCTGTATGTTTAATTCCGTCTCTGTTTGTCCCTCAGTCTCTGACGGAGGGCGCAGGCTCCTACTACCATCTGACGCACAGTGAACTGGTGTCTCTGCTGGTGCAGCGGGAGGCGGAGCTCCAGAATCAGAAGGCGGAGTTTGAGCGACAGAAAATCCTTTTGGCCAAACGAGAGACAGAGCTGAAGAAGCTGAAGCCACAGGTCAGAGATTTGGAGGATTACATTGACACTCTGCTGGTGAGAATCATGGAGCAGAAACCCACTCTTCTGCAAGTACGCTCCAAGTTCAAGTGACCGCGGTCTGGCTTTGTTCACTATAAAAGTTCCACAATGGCTCTTTAGTCTTTTCACTGCTCGGCTGTCCTTTTGATACAGTTACACAGGCACTGCGAGGTTTCCAGACAGCATGCTCCTCTGAACAAAACACATGGTCGAGCGGTCTGAAGGTCACGTGAAGGTCGTGTGAAGAATGCCGCAGGTCCTCAGGTCGAATTCAGGTCGGTTTTGGGCTCTCACCGAGGGGCTTCAAGACCCAGACGCTTTCATTTAGGACTCTGATTGTAGAAATGATCCTCTCATCTTCACCACTTTGATCACAGAACATGGGAAGTCTCAATCCAAAACACCCCCACTATATGAAAGGCATTGTCACTCCTCATTTAGTTATGTGTCAGTGCCCCAGTGACAATCAGTAATGTTTTTTTTTTATTATTATTTTCAAATAAATAGCCCTTTTTACAAATTTTTAATAAATGCGTTTGCCAAATATGTTGTTTAATCTTACATATAAATTATGCAAATACTTTTAGCCATTTAGTTCTAGTGCACTTTAGTTTCTCGGTTTTATATTTACAGTATTCCTCATCAAATGAGTCTGTGCATTTAAAGATGGTTCTAAAAGCAACAGAACAATTTAATATATAAAACAGAGGCTCCTAATCCTAACACCTGCCCCATAGTGCCATATGTCAGTTACATTCCTTACCTCCTGAGCTTAGACTTCTATAGAAACTAAATAGTGAGCCCAATTTGAATTCACAAACTTATAAACTTACAGACTTAAAAACAAAAATAATAATAGCCTACATCTGAACTTTATGTTTGAATGAAGTGAAAAATGAAGAAGTCTATTTCAATTCATTCTAAAAGACTAAAAGGCATTTCTGAGGGATTATTATTACAGTTATTATTTAATTAACACATTAATTTTGTAGTAGTTTTGAGTAAATACATTTTTGTTGTTGTAAATTTTGCAGAAAACATCACCGCCAAGGCTAACTCATTTTTACATACATTTTTTTGTTTAGTTTTACACTGTTTTACAAATTAAGTCAAGATAAAGCTAGAAACAGCTTTACCTTGCTTTTTTTCTCTGCATCATATATACTGGATGTTTTGGACTGACACTGAACCATCTCTTTTAATCAAATACCAAGTGCTTTGACTCGTTTTTGGTGGATGGACAAACCGAATTGTTCAACCGCATCACTGGGACCTGATTGTAGCGCCTTCAAAAGTGTCTTCTACAGTGAAAAGGCAGTTTCTCCTGTTCATTTCTTATTCATTCCTTTATTTTCCTGCACTGATGTGTCTACCTACAGTTCAGAGTGTTTTTATCTGGTGTTTTTATCAGTATCACAAGCAGTACGGATGGGATGAGGCACAATTTTCACAAGACTAGACGAGATTTGGTCCATGAGAATGAGACGAGATGAGATTTTAACAATATATAAATTTAGCATTTCAGTTTCCATGTTTGGCCTTACATAAAAAAAAAGACTCCATAATTTTGTTTCCATTCTAGTCCTGCTTTTTTTGTACAGTCCAAATGTAAACATTTTTCTCATTTGTGCATAGTCTTGGGTCAATTTGGTCTCGTGAGATCTTGTACTATGAGATCTTGTACCATCCCTAGCAAGCAACCATCACATGTTTTCCAATGCCATGCTTTGCGCACACTTATGATCAACTTATCAACTTCCCACTCTGTTCCCTAAATTAATAGCATATACACCAAATGCTGCCTTATTTCTGCTTAGCCAAGTCATTTTACCATTAAAAGAAAAGGGCATTTGCTCATTTATTATTATTCTTTCAACATTGTATTAAAACACTGCACAAAATTATGCATAACAGTAGACGATGAGCAGATGTTACTGTGAAATGCCAAATATAGTCTTAAAACTTAATCTTGGGAGCAGAGTGAGTAACCATAAAAGTATACAGATTACTAAACCACATTTAACAGCATTTGTGGATACCTGTACCTTTGTCAGTATCAGTAAAGTTAGATTATCACAGAATACTACTGCACTTATGACTTGCTCTGGGCTTCCACAATTAACATTGAGCCACTGAGCATAGAGTGTCCTCCATCTTGGTTTTACCCTAGACCAGTTGTAGAGGCGTGTTTTAATGTGGCACTTATAGAATAAAGTTTGTCTCCATGTCTTCCATTTTAAAGCAGTTTTAAGTTAAAGTTTGATTGTATTTGTCCTGACTGAGTAACTGTTCGAATGTGCTCAAAGGTAGCGTGTAAGACTGGAAAGTTTACAAACGTGATGCAATTCTGTTTCACAAATTTTGTATATTTAATAAAGAATATTTTGTGTTTCTTGCTCACCGTATCATTGGCTTTACTCTTCATATCAGGTGTTGGTATCAAACGTGGACTTCAGAATGAATGCTGAGTGAACTTATTTTAGGCAAATACAGATCAGCCCAACAAAATCTGGTTCCTTAATTATTCTTAATACAATTTAGATTATTCAGATAATATGTTGCAATAAATGGATTGTTTAGAAAAAGGAATTTGTTATGCTGCCAACTATTAAGGCAGATCCAAATGTAGTTGCAATAATCATCTCTCAAAAAAAAAAAAAGGTTAAAAAATAAATAAATCTTCTATCATTGCTATTTCTCATTTTTGAAAATGATACTTTAGACATGGCCTTGTTTATTAATTATGTATAAACATTGTGATAGTAATGATCAAAGTCTCCACCAGGGGGCTACATTACCTCCTAAATGTCCACACTATGGCAGTTCATAGCTATATAGTTCATTGTTATTTTAATAGATCCATGGTTCATAGTTACAGCCTACAGTAATTGTTCAATCTGATAATTGCAAAACTATTTTTTTTTCTCGACTCCACCCTCAAAACAATATCACAGCGTTGTCTTCTGGGAAATGCAGTTTGACTTATGGATTCTCACGGCAGCGGGCTTGTCTCTCCGACCGAGAGAAAAACTACATTTAGCCTGAACCGGGCTGACCGTGACAGCTCCGCAAACCAAACGTGAAAAAGTTCTACTCTAGGACCTGCAGCATGTCCGAGTACCCAGTGTTCCAGTTGGGCAAGCCACGCTTCGACCAGGTATTTATTAACTTACAACGGCATATTGCGCAGGACGGGCAACTTTCAGAGCAAGTAAATACAAAGCAGAAAGCCACAATTGTAGCTTCCTGCAGACGGCACCAGGCACTCTACAACTGTCTAACACGTTTTTCGACATTTTAATAAATGCACTCAAATAATTTAACCTAAATAAACAGTTCAACGTATCTGTGTATACTATAAGCCCTACAAAGTCATGTTTTTAATATTAACATCTTTAGTGCTATCCACTGACAATAAAGCACCAAGTATGAGAGGCATTTGATAATTCTGTTTCATTATGCTTTATGTAAATCTGTGCTTGCTAGATATCTATCTACAAGGTGGTAGCAGGTTTATAAAATGCCATGACTAAATAGTGGTTACCTGAGTCCCAAAATATTCTGTTTAATTCGCTTACAGTAAATATGACCGATTTAAGTGTGTCAGCCCTGTGATTTAAAGCCGCCTATATACGTTTTTTAGTGCAGTATGACACTGCTTGTTTTCACAGAGATGTTATTGCTTTGCCTGTAATGCCCCATAGTAGTTCATTATTGAATTTATTCAGTTACAGATGTAAACCTTGAAAGCATCCATTCTTTTTGTGACCAGTATCACCTCTCCACAGATCTCACTTGTAACTTGACCTATTGACCTCTTGTCTCCATAGAGAGTATGTGTAAGTATCAGAACGTGTAAAGCTAGTTAGTGTGGAACTTTTCAGGCAAAGCAAAAACATCTCCATGGAGACGAGCACATAGGTGACCCTCCACTAGAAAAGTTACGTAGTGAGCCTTTAAGCACTGTCAGTGTTATACCCTGTGTAAAGCCCTTGCTGACATTCACCCACAACTGCTAAAAAGAATAGCATAAGCAATATATTAACACTAGCCTAATGAATAAATTAAATAATGACCAATTAATAATACATATGCCACTGCCTTTAAGTGAATCACATAAACCTTCAGATGCCCAAAATACATCTATAAGCAGCCTTTTAACTTCTTAACAATCTTCTCTCCTCTGATCATTTTGTCAAACTCAAATGGCAGATAAATAATTGAATTAACAGATTAAACCCCCACGCCACATTTTATCAGTTGTCCATATGTTTCGGAAGTCACAAGGCTCTGCAGTGAATCACAGACCAGATTTCCATCCAAATTAGCAGTTCGCATAATTAAGGTCCGATAAGCCAGCCTCTGTGGTGTCGATAATATATTTCAGATTTTATTCCTTATGCTGTGGGTTTAAATGAGCGTAGACGAGGAGTATTTCTGGCACAGTCATTATAGGATTTAATTGAGAATGGTGTGAGTGAGTCGGAGTCCCTAAAAGACTTGTATCAGAAACAGTTTGTGGCTTGGTAATGAGCTGACTCCACCTGGTGTGTAAAACAGCTGGCTCAAGCTAATACAGGCGTTTACTCAGTGGTAACAGCTGGAGAAACGCGATAAAAATCCTCAATTTCATTTGGTTTACGGCATCGAACTGGAGTCACATGTTATCCACCTGTGAGTTTTTCAAAAGTGAGACTTATTGAAACTTAACAGGTATATTTATCTCTATATCTCTCAAACTTTTATTATGAAATATAAAGTGACTAAGTGAAAATACCTGTCACTATAACTACTATGGTGAGCCACTTAATGCTGGAACAATATATTTTATTGTAGCATATTGCAGCTCACTTCCGCTGTTTAATTTAGTTATGTGACATGTGCAGGGGGGTCTCTGGGTCATGATTTTGCCTTTTTTTCAATGAACTGTATTAAATCGATTTGAAATATTGCATTGTATTGTCTCAAAAGTGCACTGTATCAAAAAAGGCATCATGTAGTCTGTGTATTGAGGTATGTATTGTATCGGCAACTTCTTAATGATACCCAGCCCTGAGTTGGTTGTGTTGTGAAGTGACCCTCCTATTCATGCCTGCTTTTTTAGCCTAAGTAATAAACCAGCCTTCTCGGAGCTGTGTTGTATACGAGGAGAGCAACAAAATCCCATCTCATGTAACTTTATTCTCCAAGGAAATGTCACAATACATGTCATATGTACGTTTTCTTTGTGCTAGTGGGATTTTTTTTAGACTTTGAAAATCCACTGCACAAACCAACCACAATTTGGTCCAACCACAATTTGTATCACGTGTCTCTCAAATGTGGAAGACATCTCTCCAAAATTCTCTTATCATTCAGAACAAAATATATAACTTATTTTACTGGAGATAAGTAATAGTTTGGTACTTCGTTTGTTGATTCAGAGCAAATACACACTGTTTCTCATTCCCTTATTTTTTTTATGTTTTTATGTGTAAATGGTCATGTTTGTTTTTGACATGGTCAAAATAAATAAATCAATTGGCACACTCTGGCACGGCTCTAGGTCTACTCGTTTTTGTAAAGTTTTGTCAAAGCGTGTGGTGCTTTTCTGGTTGTTGAAGGTTGAACAAGTAAATTCTATGACTGATTATTGATACAAACAAATTAGTGTCCTTCTTCTTTATCGCAGCTCATGTTTTTTTTTTTTTTTTTTAACAATATTGTACATTTAGAATATGTTTTCAGGGGATTATCCTGCTTTAAATTTATTGTGTCAGTAGTATAAATTAGTTTCAATATTATCGTGTGTCTATATTTTCTCCAGCAATGTATCGCACTTCAAAATTTGTTATCGTGACAGGCCTAAGGTGTGGTGCAATCCCAGCTTAAACCAGTGTAAGTTGTTTTGTCCTTGGGCAAGACACTTAACCTACTTTGCCTCTATTTGAGTCAGAGGGGAGAGAGGCGTAGGAGGGCTCAGATTGACAACCTCACTTGTCACTCTACCCCAGGGCAGTTGTGGTTGATTTTTAAATTTTAGATTCAATTCTCATTGTAACGCAGACAATGGTTCCACAAGGCCCTCAGTAGCAATTTGCTTCATATTGTAGTTTTTGATCATGTGAACACTGTAGAGGCCTGACACAGTTTAGTTTTCTTCACTTCATATTTAGTAGATACATTATTAATGGTATATAGTAAAATATATATATAATTAAAATCTATGCAATTTTTTTCCTCAGAGTACATTTTTTGGCCGCTTCCGACACTTCTTGGATGTGATTGACCCCAGCACTTTGTTTGTCAGTGAGGTGAGTTTAGATAGGTCAGATATTGTAGCGCTCAGTGTTTACACTAATCTTTTCCTTTTACATTTTTTAATAGTGCAAAAGATATACAGCATGTGTTTATGTGTTTAATGGGCACTATTGTCTCCCACATTAGCAAATTGACACATAGGTGTGAGATAGATAAAAAATGTAAGCAAAAATAACTGATTTAAAGATAAATTCAAGCTAAGTGTCTAGTATAAGTGATATGTCTCCACTTTTGTGGATAATTTTTGGTTCATTCTCATTTTGTGCAATTCTTGAACCTTAACTCAGACACTTTCAGACCCATTTGAGCAGATTCCGGATACAAAATAAAATGTAAAACTTAAAAAAAAAAAAAAAGTAAAATACTGTCTGATGATTATTATTGGGATAATCCAAAAAGATATCAAGATATTTGTTTTTGTCAATATACACCCCTAATTGTAGGTAGTTAATTTTCATATAAACTGTGTTTGGACTTTTACACTTAGAAATACTCGTTTAAAAAACCATATAACTATGCTGTTTTCTGATCTGTGTTACGTCTGCTCACCAAAAACATACGTGGAGTTGTGTTTTGTTTAATTCACACATGTTTAACACATAAACTCTGCATATTTAGATGAGTTCTTCTCTTACATAGAAAACACTTTGTTCCATCTTGTGATGTCATGTGGTAATCCACTATGTTTTTAAACTTCATACACCTTCACTAGAATCATTTGAATAATTTCAACCCTGGAATTGCCAGTCTCTACTGAACTAAAAGTAAAAGGTAGCTGCCAACTTGAAAACTACCACTACATCAAAAGATGGAACAGAGTGTTTTGAGCTTTGGAGAGCTGGACTAATAATGCAGGATTATCCAAACATGTGTGAATGAAACAAAACACAGCTCCAGACATATGTTTTGATGAGGTAACAACATTTTAACATGGCTTAAAGCTAAGAAGAATCAGTTTTGTGTAATATAGGACCTTTAATTCAACCCTAACCCTAACCCTAACCCTTTTTCAACTAATCACAACAAAACAATTGACCCTTCGCATTAACTGACACTATTGATTTGTCTAATTTCTGTATTTTTTTTTATCTAACTTCGCCTCAATCCCATGACCTCTGCTACCCTCTTCACAACACTTTGGTTCTTCCAGCTCGCGGTTTTGTTGTGGTAATTTCCCTTTATGTCATCATTGCTCCGGTGCAGTGGTTAATGAACCTGTTAGCGGGCCCTTTCGTGACAGTAATAGCACCACTAGCTCTTGGGATGGGGAGAAGAAGCAGAAGAAGAGAGGAGGAGGGGAGGAGGAGGAGAGGAGGAGGGGGTGGACTCCTGGTGGGACGGGTGCAGCCTCGACTTGCCTGTAATGACCTCCTATGATTGTACTCTCACACTCAAGTCGCTGAAAGCTAATTAGTACAAATTGGGCCACATGATCTTGTATTTTCCCCTGCATTAGTTGGCGATCATAGCACAGAAATATCGCCATCATTACCTTTTAGGAAGCTCATTTGTCAACTGGAAAGCAGCGTGGAACTTTTTAGTGGAACGCAATTATCACAAGATGGCTTCCAAGTACAATGTGTTCAAACATAAGGGGCTGTTTAGACAAAAGAGGTAGTATTTGAAGCATGATAATAATGAGAAATAAAATAAAATGTGTTTATCAGAAGCGTCTGAAGGAAAGCATTGACCTCCTCCAACGGTTTAAAGAAGGAACCCTGCCTCCTGGAGTCACAAATGAAAAGGTATAACAAACAAAATCTGAATTATAGATCAACTATTATTTATTGCCAATCCTGTGTGTGATGTTTTACAGTTATGGAAAGCCCAGAAGATAAAACAGGTTGGTCTTATTTTCATCTATCTTTATCTCTCATCTACATTCATAAGTCTTACACCTCTCCTTGGAATTATTAGTTTGCAGGGAATGTTCCACAGTATGGCATTAGACTTCGCTAACATTAGTTGTGTTTCCATCACCTTATTTTGAATGCGCATTTTAAAGATTCACATAAGTAAGGGAAGGTGGAAACACACAAATATCTAATTTAGAACCCTAACCTGTAACTTGGCCTGGTGGTGCCACATACTTGTCTCCATGTAGAGTTTGTCAGTTTGTAGTGTAGTGTCTCAGTGTAGAACATTTCAAGCTGAACAAAAACATCTCCATGCAGGTGATGATCCTCCACTCGAAAAGTTCCATAGTGCACCTTTAAAGGGTCCACTTTACTCTATTTTCTGATCTATACTATAATGTTGTTTCCTCGTCAAAAAACATACCTGGAGTTGGGTTTTATTTCATTCACACGTTTAACACACAAGCCCTGCATATTTAGGCTGAGTTTTTCTGTTGAAAGGAAAAGACTCTGTTCCACCTTGTGATGTCATGTGGAAATACAGAAAGTGCTTCACTGTGTTTTTAAACTCTATACACCTTCACTAGAATGATATGGATAATTTCAGCCCTGAAATTGCTATTCTATACTGAACTAAAGGTAAAAGGTCGCTGTTAACTTGAAAATTACCACTAAATGATATCACAAGGTGGAACTGAGCTTTCTGAACTTTGGAGATGCAGACACACTGACAATAAAGTCAATTTTTTGTATTACAGGACCTTTAAATTTTAAGTTAGTCTCTTCTGTTCTATCAGGCGATCATCCACCCGGACACAGGGGAGAAGATCCTGATGCCCTTCCGCATGTCAGGTAGGCTCTCGTTACTGTCATTGATCTGTGGGGCTCTTCAGGTTGTCTGTAGCTGTAAAGGTCATTCTCTGCTGGAAACTGATTAGAGCCTCTCCCCCACCGAGACACAGACGTCCTTAAGTCCTCAGAGCTGAAAAACAGAAAGTATTTTGGTTGAATCTAAAACACCTTTTAAGTGAGCTGAGTCCGCTGTCATAAAGGCACAAATGTTAGGAGCAACATCAAGTCCACATCAGACTCAGAGGACCAAAGGTGTGACTTCCAGGAGTGGACAGTATCAATTAAACTAAAGAAGAGTCTGGGAGAAGTTTTTAAACATGAATTAGCAAAAGGTTGAACGGCCAGACCTTATGTGACATTTTGTGTAATTTAATTAGAACATGCAGAGACACAGAGACATTTTACCCCTCATAAAACCATGCACAATAGGCTAATCTTCATCCTTACAGTTATTTTTATTCTGTATTGTACTGTTTTTAATCTGTGCCTTATGCCTTCTAATTTAACTGTATGTAAAGCCCTTTGTAACTGAAAAAGTAAAGTGCTATGTAAATAAAGTTATTATTATTATAATAGGTACTCAAGACTTGGATCTTTCAAGTCAATACAGTGGCATTGAAGGCTGTGTCAGATGAATGAAGAAAACACATTTTGCTATACCTCTTTCTTACCATGTGATTAATAAATAATTGTAATAAGTTATATGATTCAGTTACATATTGAAATTTTAATATTCATTACTGTGTAATACTAATTCATTACTGTGTAAAAAAAAAAAAAAAAAAAAAAAAAAAAAAAAAAAAAAGGTGCACTGTGTAACTTTTCCGGTGCAGGATTCATCATCTGTACATGTCTCTATGGAGATGTTGTTGTTTTGCCTAGAATCATTTAGAAATTTCTGTCTTCAAGCAGATGGCACCACCAGGCCATATTACAGGTCAGATCTATGGAGAGACGACCTCACAGTTTTTCCAGATACTTTTTAGCAATAAAATCACTTGTATTTGAGTAAATGCTAGGTATGTAGATTTAATGCCATACTGTGAAACATTGTAGGCTAAGAGTTTCATTGAAGACTTCTCAGGTGACAGACCCCCATCAGAAAAGTTACACAGAGCACCTTTAAGGGTTATTTTGACTAACAACATATTATAAGTTACTCTATTGATATTCCCAGGTTTCGTCCCCTTTGGCACGCCTGTGGTAAGTTTAATTTTACGCTTTGAGTAAGAGCGTGCCAGTTGATTTATTTATTCATTCTCCAGGTTGTGGGACTCCTTTTACCAAATCAAACGCTCATGTCCACCATCTTCTGGCAGGTATTGTATTTACACCATATCATCGTCATAATTTTAAAAATGTAATAAGCATGCTATATATGCACTGCATGTTACTATACTACTGCATTTCCCAAAGTCTGCATTGCAAAGAATAGTAATTGTGATTACATTTAATATAAAATTGCATGTTTTACCTTTAGAAATACATATTAAAATGATATAATTATACATACAGGGTTAATGCATAAATAATAAAGTACTAAATGTAACCAAACATATGTGAAGCACAGATTTCAAAACTCAATTTTTTTCTTGCTTGTTGTGTGAACAACCTTTGGACGGCCCCTCAGGACCCACTTTGGGAATGACTAGTGTATTATTTTTAGGTTAATTACATATTGTATATTACAATTAGCCTCATTGCATTATGTTATATTGTTATTTTGGGCTAGGTAGGTGGTGGTCTTTGTTCTTGATCAAATCACTGGCACAGCTAAAAACTTGGTAAAGACTTGGTATTTCATTTTGTGTTTTGTGTTATTTTATTTTTATAGGAGTAGAGTCGAATCACATTACAGCAGACTGAGTAGACTTTGCTGGGTGATATGAGAGAACTTCTTTGACATCTTTTCATCCCATTGTTCATTATTCCTCTGCATACGTAAAAAGCTGTGTCTTTGTCCTAGTTTTCCCCTGGCCTCATGACCGGTCAGTGGTTTGTTGTACTGACCATAAGATGCCCACTGTTAATCCCATTACCTCTCTCAAACGTATTGACGAGCTCTTCACACTCTGCTCTGTGACAGTGGCTGAACCAGAGCCATAATGCCTGTGTGAACTACAGCAATCGCAACGCCTCCCAGGTACCTGCTAACTCACCCCTACACAGGGAGTCCACACACAAACTAGGACAGCATAAAATAGAATGAAAACTATTCAACACACTCAAAGGTCTTTTATTACACAAAATGGACTTTTGTAAGCTTTAAGCCATGTTGTAACGTTGTTCTCTCATCAAAAACATACCTGGAGCTGTGTTTTGTTTCATTCACACATCTTTGAGTAATCTTTTATTATTAGTCTGTCAACTTCTCCAAAGCTCTCCAGCTCAAAATGCTGGAGTTTGAAGTGGTAGTTTCCAAGTTAACAGCTTCCTTTTACCTTATTTCAGTAGAGGTGGGCAATTTTAGAGCTGAAATCATCCAAATCATTTTAGTGAAAACTAGCACAGTGCAAAAATTAAATGGTACACTTTGTAACTTTTGTGGTTAATGGTTTGCTATTGCTTTGTCTTCATGGGGATGTAATTGTTTTATATGTCAATTAAACTGATATATCTTGCATTTATTCAATTGCAGGTATTTTAATACCAGATAGACATTAATTATTATGCTAAGCGTTGTCATCTCTCCACAGACCTTACCTGTAATTTGGCCTAGTCATTTTTGTCTCCATAGTTATAGTTAAATTAATGCCTTACTGTAGAACATTTTAGGCAAAGCAATAACATTTCCATAGAAATAAGCAGGAAACAAACCCTCCACCAAAAAGGTTACACAGTGCACCGTTAAAATGAAAATCTGTTTTTGTCATCTTATTATCTTAACCCAATGAACTAATGTTTTAGTCTTTGGAAAACATTATCACAATATCCAATAAAAGTAAGTAATGAATTTAAATCTATACCTTTAGGTCTGTACATATGCAAATGTTCCATGTTTATCCTGATATATATTGTATGTTTTATATTGTTTTAATTGCAATGACTGCCTTTTTACTGTGTATGATTTATGATTCATTTATTAAGCTGAGAGGTGATGAGACCAAACTGCCCTAATAGATTCATGTATAATGTCTGTGTAGTTGGCAGATAATTCACAAAAAACAACAACAAAGGACTAATATCAACCATCTCTTTTCAGCCAAATCCAACCTCAGCGTTTGTGTATGGATACCTTGGAGCAGTGACCAGTGCTGTGTCCATAGCTGTAAGTGTCCAAAGAAAAGGTAGTCGAACCCAGGATCTTCTCACTCGGTGGCAAATTAGTTTGCTTGTGTGATGTATATTAACAAATACTAGTACAATCACCACCTATTGTACTATTTGTACTTGAACATACATATAAGTGTAACTCAATTTTGATACTAAAGAAAAGTCTCAACAAAATTTCCAACACAAAATAAGCCCTTTTTATATTACCAAGTGGCCTTATCTAGTTAGATCAAATACTATTCAGGAAAGGTCAAGATTTGTCCTATTTGTGTGATTTTAAAAAAGCAGTTTAGGGTTTAAAATTCTGACACCCTAGTAGATACACTACCAGTCAAACGTTTGGACACACCTCTCTTATTTTTACTACTTTCTATAATTATATACACACAACGGACCTCAAATAAATGAAGCAAGATATATGGAATTATGTAGCTTGAGGAGTTGAAAATGTATATATATATATATACATACATACGCATATATACAAGTGTATTTATTCGTAGTTGAAAAAATTCACGGAAAGAAGGATATGTCCAAACTTTTGACTGGAAGTGTTCTTTACTATACGGTTATTAATATTTCAATTTTAATTGAACAAAACCTAAAAAGTCTGTGCAATGGTACCACTCCAAACTCCTCTGTGTTCTATAACGCATGCACTGAGGCGTAGGATCAATAATAACAGGTATTTCCTTGTGTCTTTAATCTGTGTTTGAATGCCCAGCTTGAGTGTAATGATTTAATTAGAGACCTCTTTTGAGCGTGGGCCTTTTCTTACCTTTGTCCCATCAAAGCCCTAAATGTCAAAGAGCCCTGGCCATGGTCCACCTGCCCCACACGCTCCTTAGTGCCTCATACTGAGCCAATTACCTGTCCCGCTGTAGAACATGGCGGGGGTCTGTGGGGCGTCACGGGCCGGTGGGGGGGGGCGGAGATCTCCAATTAAACGGCCGCTATGGTGACGACCCCCCGCTGTCCTGAGAAGAGCTGAGGGCAGAGGTGACGGTGGTGTGATATCTGAGCACATATAGCCTTTCACTGCTGCTTTGAATGTGTGACGAGCCCTGATTGGCTCAAAGGATGCACCACTTCTCCTGCCAACGTACAATGGACAATGCTCTTACAAACTGCGTCAGTGTTTCTCATATTATCTCATATACAAGATATTACCTCTGACAGATTCTGATTGTAGTCAAGAGGTTGTTTAAAGGGGCATTATATAACTCTTCCAGCTGGAGGACTACCATCTGTTCATCTACACCAGGGGTGTCCAAACTTTTTTCACAGAAACGTATTTGAAGCAGAGGACCACAGACCAATGGTCAGTATAGTGGATTTGTAAATGCAAAACTTTGGCAGAGCCATCATACTTATTAATAAGGCTTGGAACATTAATTGTAGGCCTGCGTCACAACGCAATGTGATGCCATTGACGTTATAGTGTTAGAATTACTTAAATTGCTGTTAAATTTAATGTCTATGATCAATTTGGCCATTTCAGTCGACGCTTTTTTTAGTGCTTTACTTGTAATGTTCCACATTATGACATTAAACTTCTTTGTTATTCATTTCTTGACTTTCGGGGGGGGGGGTTTATTCAAAAAACTTTAACAAACATGCTTTTTTCTTACTGTAAACGCAGTCGCCTCTCCACAAATCTTTACTGTAATTGGACTGGTGGCTTCTCCTGTTGTCTCCATGACAGATTTAAGGTCTGTGGATGATTCTTAGCAAACCAATATCTCAAAGTAAGGTTTATTAAAGTACAGCAGTGGTTCAGTTATTATATAACAGGAGGAGGTGATGCTGCCAGGCCAAGTTATAGGTCAGATCTGTGGAGAGGCAGGCTTATTTACAGTTAGAATGTATGTTTTTCAAGGCAATAAAAACACCTGTAATTTAGTTAATGCAGAAGTAAAGAGACAAGCAGGCAATGGACACCCCACCAGAAAAAGTTACATAGTGCACCTTTAATCACTTATATTTTTTAAAGGTCAATTTGTATATTACACTGGTATTGTCAATGTTCATTTGCTATAGGATTTCTCATATGAAGGTTTAACTCTTTATTCATAGGGTCTAGTTTAAAATGGCTTTCTCCTTTCCTTCAGGTTGGTTTGAACGTTTTAATCCAGAGAGCCAAAGGTTTCAGCCCCAGCAGCAGAGTTCTGGTACAGCGGTTCATCCCCTTCCCAGCAGTGGGTGAGTTCAAACAGCCTCACTCCACAGACCTGGGATTAGACCCGGTTTGATCTGCAGAGGCCTTTGTCCACAGATTATCTCAGGACGACATTCTCACACTTTAAAGATTTGACAAATGTACTATGCCATGAGTGGGAAATACAGTGGGAAATTGTTAAGTCATTATATCTCCCAAGAACATTTTACTATGCTGTAAAAAAAAAAAGAATGATTTTTGGTAAAGGTTTTTTTACCTGTTTGTCTCCATGATGTTATTGTTTTGCCTGAAATGGCATTAAACTTATTTACCTCCATGGAGACAAGCAGGTGATGACAGTAGTCCAAATTACAGGTAAGATCTATGAAAATACAACCTCGTTCACAGTGACAATGCATGTGTTTCACAGTATAAAATCTGTTTAATGTCTGTGTATATGGTCTAACACTCCTGGAAAAGCAATAGCAACTCGATGAGACAAACAGTTGGTGCATCCTCAACCAGAAAAGTTACATAGTGCACGTTTAATCTGCATCGGCAACTACAAAAAAATAATATCTTTGACTCAAAAAACAGCTTACTAGGTTACTACTACAATAATTTATTCAGACAGTGCTTGACAGTGACTTTAAAAAAATTTGAGGTAATTATCAACTCTGTGTGTACCCAGGCTGTCTCTGGTCAAACACAGAAATTAAACACAAACTAATCTCAGTATTTGGTGCATCCTGGTTGTAATTTGACCCGGTTTCATGTTGCTTCATAACCAGTACAAAAGTCAAAGACATTTTGGTTGTGATACAGTGAGTTCTTAGGTCTAATCAGTAATAGAAATGATTAGGTTCAACATTTGTGAATTTACCTTTTGGATATTTCATGGCAAAGTATATTATTAATTACTGGGTGTCTGTTGACATCACTACATTCGATACAACCATAATATTTAATGCAGATTAATATTGTTAAAATGCCAAAACATTTTGGTACTGTACTGTTTTGGTAGTACTGTATATTAATAGTTAGTATTAGTATTAGTATTAGTATTTTCTCTTCATACACTTTGACTTGTTTTGTGTTCTGTGTTGGCTGTTTATCCCCATTTTGTCTAAACACCATGTATCCCAAGACAGTCACCATCACCACAGCAAACTCTAACAGATCTGACAGTTCATTTACAAACACCACCAGCCAATTATTGGAGTCACAATACTGTCAATGAGACCAGAGGCACCCTTGGGACCACTTTTATTCATTTGGAGCCAACATCTAGTGGCCATTAGTGGTATTACACTTTGATGCTTTTAATTCCAAGCTGTTTGCCCTCTGCCACAAATTCTCACAATTACATGCAATGGTAATTTTTTAAAAACTTCTATAGTGGTTTATAGACATGTTATGAATGCTGCTTTGTTAAATGTATGCCCCACAAACACACATAGGCCCCTTGGGTGTAGCTCTGTGCCCAAAGCCCCAAGCTGCTCATAATTAAATTGTTTTTAGCCTGCACCCCTCCCTTTCTCTTCGTATTCTTCTAATTAAATCAACAGGTTTGTACAGAGCAGCCTTTGCCTGGTAATTGGCTTCTCGTTAGGACGGTGCAGCCTCAAACAAATTGGATAATTATGCCTAAAGTGGCGTCTACGTATAAGTCAGTGGCCCATATTTCACCTGCTCATTCTCTGTTTGTGTGTGTATTGTCAGTTGTTGCTTAGACTCAAACCATATCTAAAGGTAATTAAAACAGCTAATTGGAGCGAGTGGAAATCAAAGTGGCGTTTGAATTTTGCACCTTTTTAATGTTGTTTGCTTACTTAAGGGTTAGATTTGTAATAACGTAATCAAGAAATGGCCTGTCACTCACTAAAGACTGTACCTGGAGGCGACAAAACTATAAATAAAATGTAAAAATACTCATTCAGGGCTAATTGTCTTTAGAAATGTTGTCTTTTATTTGTGATATTTAGAAACTAATTATGCGTTAAGTTCTTAGATTCATTTCCATAAATACACAACTCGTTATTAGCTTACAATTAAAACGCATATGTAACGCAATTAATTCAAATAATTACACTTCATATTGTACCCAAACAGGTTTTTTAATAATTAGCTCGATTTATAATTAAGCTATTTTATAATTGCAAGCAGCTTTGTCGATGTCTCATATAATTTAGTTTATATTTTTCCGGCCAAAATCCCCCAGTGTCCTTTCTGTTAATTGGTCTGTTTGAAAAAAAAACAACATTGCTCTTAGGTACAAAAAGTGATTTGCTCAATTGAATTTGCCAGCCCGTAGCGCGTATAGGAGATAAGAAGCGGCCGCTATTGTCTTAAATTAAAAAGGCTCGGGGGGCTAACACTAAACTCGCTAAAATGAGTCAAGGAGAAAAGGTTTGTCTGCATTAGCGTACATTTGTGTTCATTTCACAAGGTATAGTCAGTCACCTTCACAAACGCAACATAAAATCACATGAGGACATTTTATTATTATGAATATGAAAGCATTTTGTACTCATTTGACCCCCTTGATAGTGCTGCTCATTTACTTTAGTGTTTTCAATATTTTGTACAGTGTATATGGAGATTTTTGTAGTAATGAAAAAACGGAGTAGAAATTGCGATTATGATTAGATTTGCAATTTGTGTTTTATAGGTGTCCTGTGCGACTTTTCTGGTGGAAGGTCCGCTATCTACTTGTCTCCATGGAGATGTTATTGCGTTGCCTGGTATGTTCCATGGTATGACATTAAACATATCAATCTAGTATTTATTCATTACAGGTGTCTCTGCTCAAAATTACAATAATTCCTTCTGTGAATAGCCTCCCTCTTGATAAATGGGTTTAAACAATATGTGGAACATTCTAGACAAAGCAATAACATTTCCATGGAGATAAGCAGGTGGCAGACCCTTCACTAGAAATGTTACAAAGTGTACCTTTGAAGTGAACCAGAAGTTCAAAGTTCACATTTTAAACACGTCCAAAAGAATTGACAAAAAGATATGACAAGAAGACAAAAATATGAACTGACAAACTAATAAGAATCACATTTTAGGACATGTTTGTGCAGATCTACACTACAGGATTAGCAATTTTTATGTAAAATAAGACAGGATATTTTGCAACCTTTGCAATTGCGATTTGCTAATTGCATCCTTTCAGATTCATTTTAATTGCAGTTAATCTTGCAGCACAAGATTTTGGGATTGTGTCATCATATCAAGAGAATTTTCACTCATATCTGGAGTTGTTTGTTTCATTCACATATGTTTAATGCACAAATCCTGCTGAGTTTAGGCTGAGTTCTTCTATCAAGCAGAAAATACTCTGTTCCATCTTCTGATGTCATGTGGTAATACAGGAGGTGCTCTACTGTGTTTTTAAACTTCATACACCTTTGCTAAAATCATTTGGATAATTTCAGCCCTGGAATTGCAAATTGCTACTGAACAAAAGATAAAAGGTAGCTGTTAACTTTAAAACTACTTCATGACATCACAAGGTGGAAGAGAGCATTTTGATCTTAGACAGACTAATAATGCAGAGTTACTCAAACCTGTGTGAATAAAACGTAACACAACTCAAGGTATGTTTTTTATGAGGTAACAACATTATAACATGTCTCAAATCTCACAACCTTAACCCTAAGAATTAATATAAAATACTGTGACAGCCCTAATTGAAATAATACATATTAATCCATATATGTGAAAAAGCTTCATACATTTGTAACGGGTACTGCAGGGAAAACCATACATATTCAAACATGTTTTTCTCGATTTCATATCATCTGTTCTAATCACATCTTTTACATACACTGTTGATGACAGCTGTGAGTCTGAGGCTCTGGGGACTGTCATGTTACTTCATGTACATGTATGAGCCCACTTTTCACTGGGAAATCGAGGAACGTTAAATGCTAAAAACTAAAAAGAAAATACTGCTATTATCTGCCAATTAATGTTAATGTTGTCATAATATTAGAAATTCAAATATTTCTATACCAAGGCAAGACTGAAAAAACACAATTGGAGGAAAATTTCTTATAGTAATTTAGTGCTTATTTTTCATCAAAATCAAAAAAATTTAAATTTTTATGTTAGTGTGTCCAAACCACATTATGGAAAAAGTCCAGTAATAAAATAGAGCTAAAATAGTAAGACACTGTATAACTGTAAAACACTGTAGTACTCTGTAGCTTTGTAAATGTCTAATTATTACTATTATGATGATATTATCCTGATCATCCCACATCAGAGACTGCACCTTTGCATATTTTTGTATTATTCTCCAGCTTCAGTCCCAGCCTTAGTTACCTGCTCCCCACCCCCATCCCCCCGGGGTTTTTCCTCAGAGACTCCTGATGTGTTCACCAGCGCCGTAGGGAGAACAAGACACTTCCCTCATTTGTGAAATAATAAAAATATGTCAGATTCCTCAATGCACTCTCTCACTTTGTCCTCTCTTTCTCACTCTCTTTCTCACTCTCTGCCTCTTTCTTGCTCTGTATTCCCTCTCCTTTTCAACCCATCTCTCTCTCTCTTCCTCTGCATCCTTCTCTCCCCCTACCTTTCTCACTTCCTCATGTCTTCCCTCACTCTCTCTCCTGTCTCTCTCTTTCTCACTCTCTATACCCATCTCTCTTCCTCCCTCCCTCCCTCCCTCCCTCTCACCCTCTCACCCTTTCCTTCCCTCTCCCTTTTCTTTCTCTCTTCCTCATTCTTTACTTTCTTTCACCCCCCACTCTCCTTCCCTCCTTCTCATCTCTCACACTCTCCCTCCCTCTTCTCTCCTTCCTTCTTTTCCTCCCTTCCTCCTTCTCCTTCCTCCTCTCTTCCTCCTCTCTTCTGTCTCTCTCCACAGCCAGTGCAAACCTGTGTAATGTGGTGCTCATGAGGCAGTGGGAGCTGTCTGAGGGGATCAGTGTCGTGAATGAGGACGGGAATGTGGTCGGAACATCTAAAGTCGCTGCCAAATATGTAGGTTCCTCTGATGTCTTTGTAATGACGTGTTCGAGTAACCCTGATATTTTTAGCCTGTCCACATCTCCAAAGCTCAAAATTGTCTGTTCCACCTTTTGTTGTCATGTAGTGGTAATTTTCAAGTTAACTGCTAGTTTTTACCCAGTAGAGATGGCAATTCCTGGGCTCAAATCATCCAAATGATTCTAGTGAATGTGTATGGACTTTAAAAACACAGTTCCTTTATTACCATATGACATGTTTGAGAGAAGAACTCAGCCTAAATACGCAGTGTCTGTGTGTTAAATATGTGTGAATGACACAAAACACAGCTCCATGTATGTTTGTGATAAAGACACATAGATCAGAAACTAGCATGACATGGACCATTTGAAGGCCAGTAATTGATGAGAAAACCAAAGAGGTTTATAGGAGGGCATGGTAGTGGCTGAGATGAGATAGAGGAGTTTTAGCTGGAAGCTGTTTTTAAAGTTTTAATATTTTGTAAAACTGATTTTAGTATTTCTGTCATTTTTAGGCACTTCTGGAAACAGCTCTTACCCGAATCGTCATGCCAATGCCCATCTTGGTTCTACCTCCCATGATCATGGCAAACCTGGAAAAGTAAGATTACACCACGAATGAGGCAAAATTGACTTTATTTTTACTGAATTTTGTTCCTCATACAAAAAATAGAAAATGTTTATTTAAAGGGCCCATATTACACTATTTTCTGATCTATGTTACAATATTGTTTCTCATAAAAAAAAGAAAACACCTGGAGTTGTGTTTTGTTTTATTCTCACATGTTTAACACACAAATATTTTGCTTATTTAAATTGCATATTTAGGCTAAGTCAAACAGAAAACACTTTGTTCCACCTTGTGATGTCATGTGGTAACAAACATTTATATTCACATACATCTTTACTAGAATAATTTGAAAGATTATAGCCCTTAAATGCCAATCTCTACTGAACTAAAGGTAAAAGGTAGCTTGAGAACTACCACCACATGACATCACAAAGTGGAGCAGAGCTTTTTGAGCTTTAGAGACAGACATATTAATAATAAAGGATTACTCACATCTGTGAATGAAACAAAACACAACTACAGGTTTGTTTTTGAGGAGGTAATAACATTCTTACATGGCCTAAAGCTCAATTTTGTGTAATATGGGACCTTTAGCCCTTAACTTTACATTGCTCTGTTGTCTTATAAAGGAATTATTCACCAACATTTCTACAACAGTGTACACTACAGTCACTGAAGCTGCTTGATTTCCATTTGAATCTGAAGACTTGATTGACTGGAGTCTCTAGTGTGATGTGATCTATTAACATACCTAATATCTCCAAATAGGGCAAATGTAATTATTGATGGCCTTCCCCTGATGTTTCCTATTATTATGTGCGACTGGCTAATTAAACACTTTCCTTGCATACTTTCTTTTTATTGTAACTTGATCAAACTTCTCTCATAAACACCTCAGCTGGTGTATTAAGAACATTATGCAAAACTCCAGGTGTTTTCACTCGATATGCCAATGATTTAAATAACTCATTGTTTTCTAATCAGTTTTTCTAATCTGCTTCACATTTTTTCCCGGTACAAAGAAACACAATTAATGCAGTAATGACTGTAATAAAATTAAGAGTATTTTCCAAGCTGCTGTCATCAAATTAGAGTATTTTTAAATATCCCAATTAACCAAAGTACAATTAGTAAACTATTCATGTTGTGCAAAAGTCAAAATTATTATTATTACAGACTTGATAATTAATGCATTATTAGACATGTGAAACTAAATACACATATGCAGGTGTGGACTGTGGACTGTGGAGGCAAAACATTATCCTCTTCCTCTGAGTTGTAGTCCTTGATGAGTTCTGGTTTAGTCTGGGTTTAGACCTGGTTTAGATAGACCTACTTTAGACCTGCTTTTGACCTGGTTTGGGATGGTTTTTATTCCCCAGTCATACCAAGATTGAGTTACTGACATTTCACCATTTTCACAATTCACTTTTCATTTGTATTTGACAACAGAAATATTGCTATAAAATACATGATCTATAAAGATAAAGTATTTATTCAATAACAATAAGTATTTGTCTTACCCCAAGAACAATTTCAGACAATGTGTGGCTATATTTCATCATTTCAGATGGGGGTGCCTATAAACACCAAATTCCACCAAAGAATTCTGACCCATCCTTCATCTCAGTTTTAAACTATAGGGATTCTTGAATGCTGTGATTTCACATGAACACAACCTATATCCACTTCTCCCTGACCCTCTTGTACTTCCAGTGGAAAATAACCAGCATATAAAAGCAACTCATAACTTTAGAAACATGAATCCATTTTTAAATACTACACCCCCACATTGTTAGTGAACTTTACCCCCTCTCCTCAGTTTGGCCTGATAAACCTCTAATGTATCTTTAATGACGGCAGCATCTTGTGTTTTCATGGATACCTTCACTTTGTCTGTGGTATGCCTCCATGTCCTCTGTCCAGGTGTGTTTTGGATTCCTGGTGGTTTATGTGAGAGGGAGGCACAGGTGAGGTGTCCCTATGTCTGCTCACCTCCACTGGATTTCAATGGAGCAGGAACAAGAGGAGAGAGAGGGAGCAGGACGGCCCCTCTATGATTTATGGGCGCGCTGAGAGAGGCGTAACTCACTAAGAACAGCTGGGTTTGGGGTTTAGGGTAGCCAGAACTGGACTTATGTAAACTATTTAGCAAGGAAAACATGATGTTGTTTAGTGTAGTATTATCTTTTATAGTACTGATCTATATTTTAAACATACAAATGTAAATTGGTTAATAATTACAAAAATATTTAACAACAGAAAGAAAGAATGCATAATAAAAATCCTCTTGAACAAAATCTATTACTTTTACTCAAATTTAAAGAGCCCATATTATTTTTCTGATTTAAGTTATAATGTTGTTTTCCCTTCAAAAAACTTTTTTTTTTGTTTCATTCACACATGTTTAACACAAATCCTGCATATTTAGGCTGAGTTCTTCTCTCAAACAGAAAACAGTGTTCCACGTTGTGATGTCGTGTGGTAATACACATGCTCCACTGTGTTTTCAAACTCCATACACCATCACTAGAATCACTTGGATAATATCAGCCCTGGAATTGCCAATCTCTACTGGACAAAAGGTAAAATATAGCTGCTAACTTGAAAATTACAGCTTCATGACATCACAAGTTGGAACAGAGCATTTGAGTTTTGGAGATGTAGGGTTACTCAGATAAGTGTGAATGAAACAAAACGCTACTCCAGGTGTGTTTTTGATGTGGAAACAATATTCTAACATAGATTAAAGCTCACAAGAGTCAATTTTGTGTACTATAGGATCTTTAAAGGATGATTAGCCTTATAAACTAATTGAATATCTTCTTATTGAATACCTGCTCTGACATTGCACTAGTAATGAGTGTCTCCATTGTCTGGTGAGTCATTGGGATGTTGATGAATTAGCTTCTCGACAGGAGGCCAAGTTTAAGCCATCACACTCTCAGAAACAGTTAAACCTGAAGTAGACCTTGAAATGGCCCATAGACAAATTCAAGCAGGGAATAATTCGGTAAATCGTCACCTGGTTTTTGAAGGCGCTGCACTTGTGTCTCATAGATTACAACTTTGTACCATTGACTTTTGCTTGTCTGTTGGGCGTATGCAATAGTGTGTGTGTGTGTGTATAGGGTCTAATTAAAGCATGGCAGTCGTATGTGTTAATTAGCTCTCTCATTAGCCAGCGCGCTCCTCGTTAGGGGGAGAGGCGTGACTGAAGCAGGAGACGTTCCCGCTGTGTTCACTGTCCCAAACATACTATCCAATATGAACGTCATGATAAAATGATATAATGGATAATATAGATGGATATGGGACCTGTCTGTAGTGAGGTGGAGTATGAGGTTTGATAAGAAGAAATCAGGGTAATGTATTTGAGTACCAGAAATTTAGATTTTTGGTTGATTAAATATTCCATGGCATAGCTTGTTAAATGAAAAGGCTTAGGTGGATTTTATTGTAAATGTAATGGAGCTTGTCGCGCCATTTCTCAGGTTCAGGTAGAAAATTTCCCATTCATTTTTCCCATAGAACAAAAAATGTATTTACAGACTTTGAAAACTTGCTGTGAACTAACCAGTTATGAGGTAAAAACTGAGCACAATTTTTTTCTAATTCTAAATTCTGAAATATCATTATGTTAATTATAAAAGGGAGATTTTCATACTACTTTATACTGAACCAGTAAGCCAGTGAAAACAGTTAAACTTGTCCTAGTGCTTTTCCTGACAATCGTAAGCAGAGATAACAGTTTATGGACAAAAAGCACTGTTTCAGGGATTGTATCTGACATAGAAAGTTTGCCAAATCTGGATTACTGCACACTTTGAGTCAGTGGGCTATTTTAATTTCCTCTGATCCTGTCCCTGTCCCTGTGTGCCCCTGCAGACTGCCGCTCCTGCAGGGAAACCCCAGACTGGTGCTGCCCATCCACGCTCTGGTCTGTCTGGCCTCATTTGCCTTCGCTCTGCCCCTCGCCATCAGCCTCTTCCCTCAGACCTCACAGGTAAAAACACCAGTGTACCTTATACGTCAGTGCACAAATAGAAACACCATAATCACCTCATAATGAAAGGTTCATGATCTAGTTGGACTTTACAAGTTCTGTTATAACACACAGTACCCTAATTCTCCATTTTGGCAATTCAAGATTAATCCATTAATGGGCATATATTGCTCTGTTTTCTGAAATGTTATAATGTTTTTTCCTCATCAAAAATATACCTGCAGTTGTGTTTTGTTTCAGTCACATCCCCTGCATGTTTAGGCTGAGTTCTTCCCTCAAACTGAACTCTCTTCCACTTTGTGATGTCATGTGGTAATACAGGAAGTGCTCCACTGTGTTTTTAACCTCTATGCACCTTCACTGGAAACATTTAGATAATTTCAGCCTTGGATTTGCCAATCTTTGCTGAACTAACGATAAAAGGTAGCATGACATCACAAGTTGGAACAAAGCATTTTTAGCTTTTGAGATGTAGACAAAATAAAGGATTACTCAAACATGTGTGAAAAAAGTAGAAAAAAGTAAGACAATTCCAATCCAGGTATGTTTTTGAGGAAGCATTATAACATTAAAGAGCTGATTTTGCATAATATAGGACCTTTAACTAGTTTGAAGTGCCAGTGTCATTTTTAGCTTAGTAAATACTGACAGTAGCTGATCTAAGCTTGAAGCCATTAAGTCTATAGTCTTAATACCATAATTTGTTCCCTAATTACTGTTTGCTAATTTACATTTGAAAAGCGAAAGTCTAAAGAACTTGTAATTCTCATAATGTGCCTTTAAATAGACCTTTTTTCTTATTTTAGCACAGTGGCACTGCTTTCATTTTACTTATAAATGCTTTTAGAGTCAAAAGTTAGACTCTTTGTATCTTTTTATGAACCGAAATACTAGTAATCGCTCAGTTAATGACACCAGTGCTAATGTCTTGTTTCTAATCTCTATTAAAACATCCCGGCGTGATCTGCCAAATCCCCCATTCACCCACTGATCACCCAAAATGGCCGACCTCTTTCATTTACACCCATTGACTTAAACTGCGCCTCTTTCTTAATAAGGCCTTTGGGACCTGCTTCTATCCAAGGATCTTAACCCGATCACACCCCACTTCCTGTATCCCTGTAACGTCTATCAATCTGCTTATTAAGTCTCGCCTTTGGTTGAATTTTCTGTTGTTTTTCACTCCTCTTTCTCCTTTCCTTGCCAAATGACACAAGCTGACATGATCCAAGCTTTTCTGGCTTTAAAATGTTTAGGATTTAATTACCACTGGAAATAACTTAGTCAACCATATGGCAAAAAACTTCAAAACATATGCGCCGCCAACAGTCCTGCGAAAACCAGCCTGCCTATTATGCATGGAGGGGCCTTAGTTGTTTTTCTCACTCAGATCCTGTTTTTGCACTTGATCCAATATAGGCGTGGAGATAAAAAAATACTACCGAAAATGCAACACGGTGCCCCCGCCTCTCCCGGACCCCCCTACGCCTACTCAGATTTGTCCCATTTCCCCATTTCACACCTAGCACAAGCTTTTTGATTAAGATACAGCCGTCGCCAGGAGCCATCTGTCTCTGGTTCAAATATTAGGAGTTTGCAAACCTCAAATTAGACTCAGACCTGCCAAATTGGACGCTTTTGCACATTAGTGGTAAATACGGAACATTACAGACTTAAAGCATTATTTAGTAACAAGGGAAACTGACTCAAATAGCAAGTAGCTGGTATATCTGACCATACTCACGATAACTGTTCTCAAATCTAAATATGCCTAAATAAAGTAAGGTTGCTACTACTTTTCTTGAGTACTATTACTGCTGCTACTGCTACTACTACTACTACTACTGTTACTGTTACTGCTCCTGCTGTTACTGCTCCTGCTGTTACTGCTCCTGCTGCTACTGCTACTGCTGCTACTACTACTACAACAAATCCTACTGCTAATACATAACAGTTATAACTTGAAGAACATGTAGACTCCATACAGGAAGTCGCTCAAATCAAACTCAGGCCTCTGTTACACACATTGAGTGAAAGGCAGATTTAACCACTCACAGTCTAGTGGTATACTAGTGTGTATATATTTAGCATATTGTCCACTATTGCTTCATAAGCATCGGACATTGGACCTTCTGGTTGTAGGGAGAGTGTAATACTTCACTCTTTACTCTGAATGCCCTTTCTGCTTGAACTTCCTCAGATTTCTGTGGAAAAACTGGAGCCAGAGATTGCCAAAGCAGCAGACAGTAAGACTGTGTACTACAACAAAGGACTTTAATACAAGAAAACCTCAAATTGGGAGAATCCACTCAAGTCTTGAAGAAGTATTTATCCAGGTTCTGATGGTGTTTTAGTCATGGTGAGGGGGCAAACACTAAGGGAACTATTTGCTGGAATATGAAGTACACTGGACAACTTTTCTGGTGGTGGTTCCACTACCTGCTTGTTTCCATGGGGATGTTATTGCTTTGTTTAGAATGTTCCACAATATAAATTAAACCTATCTATTACGAGGGAGACAAGCGGGTTAAAGGAGTACGCTACATTACATTTCAGATCTGTGGAGAGTCGCCCTTATTCAGAAGGAGTTATTGTATTTTTGAGCAAAAGAAACATGCGTAATGAATAAATGCTAAATGTTTAAAGTCATACCATGGAACATTCCAGACAAAGCAGTAACATCTCCATGGTGACAAATACCCTCCACCAGAAAAGTTGAGCAGTGTACCTTTAACATTAGACTTGTATTACTTTATGTAATGTAATTTTACTTGCAACTTATTACTGTTGTTTTAAAATACATATTTATTTTAATACATACAGTATTTGAGCAATACAAGGATATGATTTATTATTTATTATGAGCCGCTTTCTATACTGTTTTAAAAAATATAATACAACTAAAAATATTTTGACATCGCTTTTTCTTAATCCAAATTTCCAAAAACAACTGAAAGTTAGTATACAATAGTGCAATACTGTATACTAAATCAAATATATAGCCTTTTTATGATCTGAACCCAGGTAAGCATTTAGGCCTTTTCTTTAGGCCATACAAACACTTTAAAAAGGGGGTATTACACTTATCTGGGGTATTAATTGTTAACACATTACATATTTAGAACACCATCTTTATCTTTTATTGTTTTGAAAATGCTATATTCACTGGTGTTGTGTATTGTTTTGTATCATGCTTCAGCTTTTGTATATTTATGGAAAATTGACATCGGGATCATTGAACAGACTTGTACTGCTAACTGTAAGCAGGGTTTGAATAATGCCTTGGAAAGATGGCAAAATTTTTTATACATGCATGGATGACATATAAAACCACTTTGTCTGATACGTAATTGTGTCAAATTTTTACACACACACAAATGTATATATATAAAATACATAAAATGTATAAAAATATATGCAAACAAAGAAAATAAAAGAATGAAAATTGAAATTGAAATAAATTATAATACATTTAAATTAAATAAATAAAACTTCTTCAGGCATATTTTTGATGAGAGAACATTATAACATGGTCGAAAACTCCAAAAAGCTCCATCACAGCTAAAACTAATTGCATCGACTGCTCATTGATGCCTGTGTCAGATCCGCACCTCTGGTTTGAATGCTGTTGCTTCCTCTGCGTTGTTCCTCTGGAGAGACACTCACTGGATTCTCACGGTAACTGCCGACTCAGATCATCAGAGCTTTAAACATAGACTTCATTTCCACGTCATTAGTTTAAACAGACACAAGAGCGCTAACTTAAAATATCATAACCTTTGAATTGTTAGCTGGTGAAGTGATAAAAGCATGTTTGTTTGTTATTGCACTGAAAAACATGGAGCGATCTTACTGTGAATGTGCTTGCATCTCTGCAAACCTGACTCTTCTGTGGTGTTTCTATGGAAATGCTATTCCTTTGGCTGAACAACATTTTCCTATTCCACAGTATGGATTATAACATATGTGGTAGATAACATATCTATCTCAATGGAAAATAAGGGGTGTGCAAAAATATAGAAATATCGATATATATATATCGATATATCGTATTGTTTAATGTGATGATACGGTATCGATATTGTGAGCTGCTTTACCAATCGCCAAGAGCATTTTTTGGTATATTTTACTAAATTATTTTATTACAACTTGTATTTTATTACTTGTTTAGAGGAAGGAAACTTTTATTTGACATATTCTTGGTTTGATGATTAAAATGTGTGTTTCATATTCACTTTACAAAAGAAGTGGTTTAACAAAGACTTTTTGTATCACAGCCATGCTTCAGCCTTTATTTTTTGTTGAACTGTATTGAATCGATTTGAAATATATCGTATCGAATCAAAAGTTCACTGTATCCAAATATGTATCGTATCGTGGCCTATGTATCGAGGTATGTATCGTATCCGCAATTTCTTAATGATACACAGCCCTATGGAAAATGTTGGTATGGTTTTAACTTTCTAATTCAGTGGAATTCTGCACTTGATGTGCTACCTCCAAAAACTTTCACAGTGTTGCTTTAAAGAGGAGTATTATGCAAAACCACTTTCTATCATGTTATAATGTTATTCCCTCATCATGCTCATTCCCTCATGCCTGAAGAGGTTTTAAATGTCATCCATGCATGTTTGAGTCTCTCCTGGGCCCTATTCTAACCCTCCTTACAGTTAACTATAAGATTCTGCCCAATGCTGAGCCCATAAGCCTACATCACTTATGCTCCCACACAACATTTCTCCATAAAAATACAAAAGCATGTACACAACAACTTGACAGACCTGATGTGATGTGCATTAGTTTCATTAGAGGGATGCATGCCGACTGTGTTGTGAGGGCACTCTGCACTTATAAATCATGTTAATACGTTGTTTCTAGCAAATGTAGCATTTTCAAGACAATAAAAGGTAACATAGTGACCTAAATATGTTATGTGTTAGCAGTTAAGACCACATAGAAGTAAAGTACCTAATCCTTTAATTGACTCACAAGAAAATTACTTATACACAGTATCTTAATACAATGCAAAAACAACTCTAGTAGAGCAAATATGAATGTAATCAAATATACACAATTATTTAAATTAAAATAAAGATGCAATTTAGTTACTATCCTATACTGTCTATGATGTGTCCTTGGGCAAGACACTTCATCTAATGCCAGATTCTACATGTGTATATGTTTGGGGGCAGGATGGGCATCTGGCCTAAAAACCTTCCAAATAATTATAGACTGGTTCGCTATGGCAACCTATACTGAAAAGGATGAGCTAAAACCTACCAGCGAGTGAGATGTGAGATGCAGTTATTGATTTGTAATGATTCAATTATGAACGAGGGTTCTATTTATTATGTGTGGCGGAGTCGTTAGCACTTGTACCTAACAGTAAATACATAACATTGATTTTTGTTCTGACCTATCAAAGCCTTTTATATGTGTGAAGTCTGGATGTATTGACCTTTTTGGCAGCTGTAAATTGCCCGTAGTGAATGAGTTGAGAGGTTGTGTTTCAAAGTGTTAGTGCTGCCATTAGCAAAGCATCTGAAACTGGCTTCAGCCCACCTATATGTGAAAAGACGGATCAATAATTGGATCATTTTTGTATATTTTAAAAGGCGTAACTTTTCAGGTTAGGGGTTTGCTTCCATGGATATGCTATTGTTTACCTATAATGTTCCACAATATGCAATTAAGTTTATATAAGATGCATTTATTTGATTATGTGAATTTTATGGCTAGAAAAATCTTTTAAAAATATGCATTCTTATTGCGTATGCTTGCAGATCTCACCTGCAGATTGACCTGTGGTGGTGTCTCCTGCTTGTGTCTGTGGAGACTGAAATGTTCAATGCCATCCTTTTAAATATTGGAGGTAAAGCAATAACATTTCCATGGAGACAAGTAACTCTTGGGTTGTCTACCAGAAAAGTTACATCGTGCACCTTTGACTATGAAATTAGGTAGGGCATCTAATGTGAAGTCTTTGTCAAATCCGTGTTCAAAAACTATATGTTAGAATTTATTTAGCGTGGTAAAATAAATGGAAAATTATGTAAATATCATTGTAAATTATAATTTGAAATACATATTTGAATCAATATTACAGAGATATGAGATGGTTGAAATGGTTCAGTCAGTTGTATTAAAAAGGGGTAGTGTCCCTTAATGTAGTTTAATATGATAAAATTATTAGCATCCCATAATAGTTTACAGTCTAAACAATGGTCATTCTTGCGCACAGAATTCATTTATTTTATGTTGATGTTTTTAGATCTCAAAATACTTAAGGTACATACTTGTACATTCTTATTGTGAGTGGGCTTACCTCTCCACAGATCTGACCTGTAAGTTGGCCTGACGGGGTGATGGCTATGATCTAGACGTCTCCACAGAGATCTATTTATTTGATTTGATCTGGACATTGCATGTTGACTGGAAGTATCATATGCACTCTTTCTGTGGTATAGGGAAAAGTGTAATTTTCAACACCTGTCTATATGAGGATTTTTAGTGCATTTCAAACTGATGGATACATTTTAATGCAGTACTGTGGAACATTCCAGGAAAAGCAACCAGTAAAGTTACACAGCTTACCTTTAACTCATTGTCCTAAATACCCCTCTTTACCTTGTATATTTGCACCTGCAGTGAGTATAGGATATCCTGGAAAGTCAAAACAGTGGAGCTGCTTCCTTTGGTGCTCACAGATGTTTAACTTATTGTGTGCTTTTCTCAGTGTCTGCGCAAGGACCAGCTCACCACGTATTTTGGAGCCTTTTCCGCCCTGCTCCTGTGTATCAGCTCTTAGCTTACAAAACACAACACCGGGGTCAGACGCAGCGCTCATCTCTGAAGCTTTAGGGTCATTACCACAAATTCCTTCCGCTCTTCCTGACAGATGGCGGTGAATGGGCCAGCGCGCAATAGTAGCTTCACTTTTAGCCCCTTTTTTCCTCAGACACCTTCAGGACCCCTTTTCACTTTTTGCAGGAATTTAGAGAGCTGCACCTGACACCTGCGTGGCTGCATTCCTCACCACCACTTTTTTGTCGAGAAGTGTGGATTTTCAGACTTGTTAGGATTTAGTAGAGCAATTACTAGAGTTTTGACATGTTTTTGGTCATTGTATTTTTTTCATGGGTTTCAGTTTCTGTATATGTAAAATTTCATTGCTGAAATCATTCAAACAATTTCAAAAACAGATATTTGAAAATCTACTCTTCACAATAAAAGAGTAGGAGTGAGGATTCCCTTGAGTTGTTTGCAATGTAGGATTTGGTAGAGCAGTTACTGGAGCTTGAACATGTTTTTTGTCATTTTATATTTTTCATGGGTTTCAGTTTCTCTTGTATGCAATATTTTGCAGCTAAAAAAACAAAAAAAAAATGATATTGGGGATTCTGCACCACCACTTTTTTGTCAATTGTGGATTTTCAGAGTTCTTGGTTGCTATTTAGAATTTGGTAGAGTAATACTAGTTTTTTGGTCATTATATTTTATTCACGAGTTTTCAGTTTCTGTTATATATTTATTATATAATTTTGAAGACTTTCCCCATTGAAAAGATAAAATAGATCAAATATTTTGTTTTAAATAGTTAAACTAGGAAAAACCAAAAGCCAAAATGATGAAGCTTACTGCAGCAGTTACAGAGAGAGGGGTAAAATAGTTTGCAAGGCGAAATAAAGCACATTTGATGACTTGTCTTTTAGTTTTTGATGTCTGCAGGAGATACAGTATTTGCTTTATAAAGGGCCCGTATTACTCTATTTTCATATCTATGTTATAATGTTGTTTCTTCATCAAAAACATACCTGGAGTAATGTTTTGTTTCATTCACACATCTAACACACAAACACTGCATATTTAGACTGAGTATTTTAAGAGGCTTCTCTCAAACAGAAAACACCCCACCTTATAATGTTGTAATACAGGAAGTGCCCCGCTGTGTTTTTAATCTTCAGCTTTACTACAATAATTTGGACGGTTTCAACCCTAGAATCGACAACTCTACTTAACTAAAGGTAAAAGGTAGCTGTTCCACAAGGTGGAACTGAACATTTTGAGCTTTGAAGATGCAGACAAACTAATAATAAAGCATTACTTGGAAATGTGTGAATGAAACAAAGCACATCTCCAGGTATGTTTTTGATAAAGTAACAACATTCTAACATGGCTTTGAGATCACAAGAGTCAATTTTGTGTAATGGAGAACTTTTAAATATGACATTATCCCTCTGTGATCCATACTATAGTTAACCATTGTTACTCTGAAGAATCACTGTGTTTCTTATTGTGTGGTTTTAATCAAAGTCTACAGCAGCCTGTTTCACACATTTCACCTGGAGCTCACAGGGAGATTTAATGAGCGAAGAAGGTGGATTGGCACCAAAACCACGCATTGTTCACTCTTATTCTTTGTACTATACGTGTAATTACAGAAGGTGATACTGGCAATGTTTTATTATTGTATGAATGATTTAAAAATGCAATACTGATAGGGGTTAAAGTGTGTTGTCATTTGTAGTGCAAGTTTTGAGCATAGTATCCAAACTTTGCTGTTGCTTCTGCTCCCTTCCTCATGATGACATATTTTCCTTTTAACTGTTAATTGCTATGGTAATCGTCTTAATTTCTCATCATTCTAAAACCCATGGATAAGCTGTACAGACATGTTTGGACATACATTTGCAGATGTTTTTTTTTTTTTTCTGTCTAATGTTACTGATACCATTAATGTGAATCTTTTATAGATTTTTTTACACTATTTAGAAGGTGGACAAATTTATTACAAAATTATAATCAAAAAGTCAATTATTTTGCTTTCTATACCTAACTAACATTAGCATTGTTGCACCTGTTTTGATGTAAACTTTAAGATAAGTGCTAAAATGACATCTTTAAGGGTCCTGGGAAATACTTTTTTATTATTTCTAAAACATATTTAAGTTATTACACATTCTGTTTGAAAAGTCTCATATAGTTTAGGGTTTGTACGGCACAATGCAGTCTGCAAACAAATGATAAAACCAAGAGGTATTGTTCTTAAACCTAAAACAAAAATATCTGTTGACTTAAAGGTGTACTGCACAACATTTCATAGTGGAGGGTCCCCCACCTGCTTGTCTCCATGGAAATGCTATTGCTTTGTCTAGAATGTTCCACAGTATAGATTAAAACTATCTGGAACACAGCACTACACTACATTACAACTCAGATCTGTGGAGAGTCGTCCCTATTCACAAAAGGAATGATTGTATTTTTGAGCAATAGAAACACCTGTAATGAATAAATGTTAGATGTATATGTTTAATGTCATACTGTGGAACATTCTCGGCAAAGCAATAACATCTCCATGGAGACAAGCATGCACCTTTTACCAGAAGGTTGCGCAGTTCATCTTTAAATTTAACTTTTTGTCAATTTTGTTTTGTTTTTCTGAGTCCATAAATCTCAGCATCTTCTGTTCCGTCACCTTGCAATGAAGATTGGAGCTTATTTTTTCATTATTGTTGAAGCCAAAAAATGTTGCATCCCCTGGTTCCCCAAAAGCAGTCGTCATTCTCGTCTGGAAGCAATTTTAAATTAAGATGGCAAGCTCGCAGATGGCGGATGTGGCAAAGACATGAGGTGTTAATGATCTAGTCAGGTGGAAAAAACGTAGATGTAACTAAACAAATGCGCTCTTTCAAAAAACAAGCATTTGAATTGGGATCTATAAACAATTTTTGAAGATCTCCGCATCTTCGGTAAAAGTCTATGCGAGAAGCTCTTCAGGAGATGATCAGTCTTTACATCAATAATATTACATAATAAATAAAGTTAGTCCATTTTGTTTTGGAGTTGGGTTAGTCCTCCGATGTGACGTCAATATCATCTGAACTGGACTGTTTGGTAGCGATGCGCCATCTATTAATATGGTGGTTCCCCTTCTTCTTCTGTTGACTCTCGGGACCCTCCTCCTCCAGTTTCTGACGCTTGTATTTGGTTCGTCTGTTTTGGAACCAAACTTTGACCTGAAAACATGGAGAAAAATGTGTTACAAACAAGACATAGTTTTTGCATAATGTAGGGATCTCGGAAGATAAAACTGCTACAAGATTTTGCACACTTGAACAAATTTATCACATGACATATATATATATATATATATATATATATATATATTTTATATATATTTGCATTTTGACTGGACAAAAAAGGTTGAGTATTGTCGGGTTCCACCTCTTGTGAAGCCATAGATCCAAAAAGCAAAGCAAAAATGACTGTAAAAGTATTAAATAAAGTAAAACAAAAACGTTGAGACCAAAATTGTGAACTGAACTACTCAAATTTGATAGAAATGATGTGAAAATCTCATGTTGCATCTTGTTCTTGTGGAAATTGTGTCTCCTCTTGTCCACCCCTCTTGATAACAATATTCAGATGATCTCGACAAGATACCAAGAATGTGCTGAAATGTGTCTGCAAATGTCTTGGTTGAGGATCAAACAAAACATGAATGGACCATAAATGAACCACAAAAGTACATAAATATCCCTTTGTACTCCTATTTGGGCAATTACACTACACGTTTCTATCTCTTTTTGCTGTAATTTTTAACTGTTTTAATTATAGACAATATACTTGACATTCTATTTTGTAGATTTCCATTCTTATTATTTTATTTTTTTTATGTCTTCCAGCCCTAGGTATTATATACACTGTTTAGAGTTACTTTTGTGGTTATATGAAAACCTCTAAAAAGGTAAAAAGGTAACCCATTGAGCAAGTAAATTTTTTCTCCTTGTTAATAATTAATTTTCTTCTTTTTCTTCTTCTTTTTTTTACTTATACATTTTGCTTACAAGTTTGCACATTTTATGCAGCAAAATACAAAAAGTGAACTGTTGTGGGGATTATATTATTGGGTTTGGTGGCAGGTGCAGAGAAGTTGAAATGGAAATATGGATATAATATAAGAAAGTAATAGCTAATAGTTGTTTTTTAATTGTTACTTTTCATATGAAAGCTGCGAAGGGTTTACGTACTAACATGGACTGTAAAGTCAAACACTTCTAAAATATTTCAAATCTGATGCCATGAAACTATTGCTGTAACTGTTGTTACACTGTGCACACACTACAGTTGTGACCCTTTTATCAAAGTAAAAAATATAGACATTTCTTTTTGCTGATTCAGGAAAACTGTTTATTGCCTATTAGGTGTAAATGAAGGACATAATGCTCTCTCATTATTACTGTGCATCAATAATGTTTACACACTCTTTTGTTACACGCTCTATAAGATCCTTTATGGACATGTCAGTTTGACAGGGATTTACTGCTAGGACTAAACTCTTCTGCCTGGAACATTTCAGATGTAAATTTGCATTATGGAATTGAAGCTAATACTGATTTTGTGATTGTAGTTTACGTTGCTTGAACATTTTTAAATGGAACAATACCTGCATTGGCCAAATTGTTTAAGGAAAAAAAAAACAAAAAAAAAAAAAAAACGGCTCAAATAAATCTCTCATCATCGTCATCCTTGTTCAAAAAACAGCAATACAGTTACATTGATTACATAACAGGCTACTAATCATTTAGAGTTAATTTATTTATAATAAGAAATATGTTTGTAAATTATTATTATAGGTTTTTGCTATGTTTTTTTTAAATGATCTCGATATTTGAAAATGTTTAACGCGGTTGGTCTGGTCTTTGGCTTGTATTATTTTGCGCATGAATCTCTGCACAGATTAAATTTGACACATTTCTATAGCACAGATTACTGCACATATTTCTACTGCATGTCTCGGGTCTCTCCGCTCACCTGTGTCTCGGACAGGCTCAGGCTGTTGGCCAGCTGCTTCCGCTCGGCGCCCACCACATAGTGGTTCTTCTCGAAGGCACGCTCGAGGCGCAGCAGCTGAGAGGGGGAGAAGGCCGTGCGGATGCGCTTGGGTTTTCTGGCGAACGGACCGTGGAGCAGGAGGCTGTCCTGGGACACTTCAGTACCTAAAAATAGAAAAGGACTTCAGAGACGAGGTACGAGTATTTTTATTAACATGGGGAATGCTCACGCATAAATAATTTTATCACGTGACCTGAAGGTATTTCACTAAATAAGTGTGTAATGTTTTTGTTGTTATGCCAAATATGTTAATAATCAGTATGATGCAAATGTAGATTTTGCAACCAAAAATAAACAATGAAAAATAATATATTATAATTTATTATTATATTATCAAAGTTTACTTAAAGTTCGATTAAATGTGTGTTAAATTCTAACATTGATAAAATATGAATGAAAAATCTGTTTTGTTTGTTTTACGCACGGCACAGGCATTTTACGCGCGCCATCGTTGCTTGTTCAGTCGTCTGTGACTCGTCTATAGCCTCATATTTATTTACACAAACATGTATATTTGTTTATCTATAGTTGGTGAATAATATCACAGTCACGCCGCGCACTTGACACATGCGTAGGATCATTATTGTGTAATATTTCCTAATAATTTTACTGGTGTTAATAAAATAAGTATGAACAAAGTATCATTTATACATGATATGTTTTGTTTTTGTTCACATATATATAAATATGTTTGATTCTTGTTTAGGTTATTTTGTAAATTGCGCAATGTTTCAGAGGCTGTATTACTTATTTTTAAGTTTGTCAAACTTGTCAAATGCGTGCGCACATTGCGCAAAATAGTTCTTAATAATTTTACTTTTACATCGTTTTATATTTTAACATAGGCAAATAATATTTAAAAGGATATAGTCTTAAAATACATTTACCGTTTTACGCAGATACTACATATTTAATATATTTAGTCTGTGTTTGGGGCGTGTGTCCGGTACTCACCCTGGAAGCGGTGTCCAAAAAAGCGGTTCCGTAGGACCCAAGGGTAGAAGTGCAGGGGGTCACGGTGCTGAGAACCGAAAAAGTGCGGGTGCTGCAGGTGCTGATGCGGCGCCACAGCGAGAGGATGGGCCGCAGACTCCGGGAACAGCAGCTCCGGGCTCTGGTACAGCGGCCGGGCCGGAGCGGGCGGCTGATACCCGCCCATAAGCGCCTCTGGCCCGGGCTGAGAGGGGTAAGGTAACGCTGTGGGCCTCAGAGGCTCCTCTGCCACCAGTGGACTGTCTTTGGCTACCAAAGACTCGATGGTGAAGCAGCGCTTTCCCGCGGAAGAAAACATCGCGTCTCCTGTTAATGCTCCAGTAAACCGGGACTCAGACCTCCATCCCAGACTCTTCAACTCAACATCCTTTGAATCCGAGATGCGCACTGCTTGTTTTTGTGCACGACACCTGACGCTGCGCACGGAGAGAGCTGATTGGACCGGAGCAGCTGCCAATAGCCCCACCACACGCGCAAAGCGTGGAAACACGCCTCTCTTCATTAAACCTCTGCGTCCGTCTAATGCCTGTGTATTTGAGGGAACAGGTGCACTGCGGGAGCTTTCATGTGCTCATTGAACGAGCAATACTCGAGAAATTACAAAAGCAATGTGATAAAAAATATGTCTTACCGTGAGTAATAAGGTATTATTTTACCAATCAACAACGAATAATACTGAAATATTATAGTCTCAAATTAAATTCTTTACTAATAAACAGATATGCACGGAACATATGGAGCCATTTTATAGGCTATTATATGGCCTCATAAGTATTTTATTTTCGGTGTAAAATAAGTCATTACTTCCCTTTATCCAAATCCCTCAGCGTAATGCTATGTAATGATACGGGCTCACGTTAACACAAAGGTGTCGTCACAAGACAATACCCTCCGCTTACACCTCATTAAACACTTTATTAAACACATCAGAAGAAGCAGGCTGATTAACAAGGGCTTCTTCAAACATAAATAGCAAACAATAAACTGTGCCACATCCTGTGTAAGAGTCTATTGGAGATGAACAGTCAATAAAGTTAGTTTTTATCCGCCAAATTAAAAATATACGCTATATGCCTGGCGATATACAATAATGCCTTGCATTATACAAATTGCTTATTGCTGTTAAAGTTTAATGATATTGATCTCCTTCCTTCTTTCAGAATGAATCATAGTTAGGGCCGTTGTTTTGGCAATTAACAATTCAAAACTAAATATTATTAACTTCTGAATGCTAGTTGCACGTTTTCAAAAATGGCACCAGAAAACTGGAAGCTGAAACCATGAATTCGCCTTAAGAGCATTTACGCATTTTACGCACGGTTTTGGCCGTCCAAAAGTGCGTATGGTAATTTGGTAAAATAATAAAAGATGTTATCCTTTTGTAAACTGCTGTTTAAATTAGTTATCAGACAAAACGACAAAAATGTTCTGTCGGCCTACAGCCCCAGCGCGTGCTGGCTTTTGCTCTTTATGCATGAACAATAACCGTCCTTAAGGCACCTGACTGAGTTTGTCCGTCTCTTTTCCGAGAGCTGAGAGTTTAGCAGCCTGTGTCGCGCGGGAGGAAACTGCGACTATATCCCACGGCGCACTAACCAAGTCAATCATTACCACTTTAATAAGGTCGTTTGTGCGCGGGCTGCATTAGAAAATCATTACCGATGGAAATTATGAGCTAAAACAAGTTGTTTATTAGGCTTTTAAGGCTAAAGGCTCCTAAATACAGACACTTCTATGAAACACGTCTCCAAAGATTTTCTACGAATTATTCAGAAATAGTCCAAGAGGAATTTGACTTTTACTCTGTCCTTCGTTAATTCATACACCATACAAACAGGTAAATTAATTTCTGTTGAATTAAAATATTGATAACTGGCCTGAAACTATTACCAACTAAAACTAAGTAAATATTTGCGCCATAACTTTTGTTCATATATAGGTTTTATTTTAATTCAATTGTGTTTGCCATAATTAGAGATAAGGAACAGGACATTTGGACTCGACCTTTAGCAGAGAATGAAAAGCTGCCTGGTCAAATTGAATGTCCGTCCCCACAGCAGCGCGTTTGATGGGTTTTATGTTTAAGCCGCGGTGCATCGCTGTGGCGACACGAGGGGAGGCCAGGACGGTTTGTTTAATGATGAATCCCGCGCGCCTTTACGCACTGACCCGATCTCTGCTGGTTAATGGATGGACAAATGGCACGGCACGAACCACAACAAAACGGAGCACTGTTTTCCCTCGGGCTGCCTTAACACACCTCCACTTTAACTTTCTATGGCGCTATTATGAGGAACTTAAGGCCCTGTAGAGTCCCCTAAATGTCGCTGAATTGAACGCACAACTGTTATTGTCACGTAGACTGATTCAGAGGTTTTTTGATTAAATTCATGAACCATGGGCGTTGTCAGAAGGATGATTGCTTTGGTTTTTTTTTTAATGGAAACGTGATGCCCGATTTTTGTCTTACTTTTTCTATCATTTCCCTTCCAGTGGGCTACGTTGTGATTAAATAGAATTATTGGACCACGCTCTTTTTACTTGCATTTTATTCTAGGCTATAAGCTGAATCAGAAATTCATGCTATGACCTTCGAAAAACGCACTTAAAGGTGAACTGTGTGACTTTTTTGTTAGTGTCCCCAACCCTTTAGTCTCAACAGAGATGGATTCCCTGGAATGTTCCAGTAGCATTACTCTTTACTCTCTATCTCCATGGAGACAGATAGGTCCACCAGGCCAAGTTACAGGTCAGATTTGTGGAGAGGTGACCCGCTCACAATATTAAAACAAAGAGCAACAAATGTGTTTATAAAAATACCTATGAGACTTTAAGCAATAACATGAGACAAGTCCAATATTTACTTCTCAGTGGCTCTGGTCCCCTTTACAGCTGCCCTGGGGCAGGCTGGCAGAAACATGGCAAATATCCGTGTCCAGTCATCAATCAAACTAGCACATATTTGGCACAAACAAAATACTTGTTTGAAACATAATCTTGTTAAATCAGACAGCAAAGAATCAGAAGTACCAAATATTCTTCACTGTGCGATCACTCATCATGTTCTATAGGGTTTTGATGTTTAAAGGATCTTTATAACGTATCTTTGTGCATCTATAGGTCATTATTCCTTATGTGGTATTTGCAAAACAGCAGCAGTCTAAGTCAACGTTCAAATAAATGGCGCCCTCTTGTGGTAATAATCAGTATAAACTGCAAAGAGCTTAACATTCCTTCCATTCTGTATTTATTTACTTATTTAGACTATGTGCTCTATTACTTTTGAGTGTGATACATACTAGGCCCTTACAGATCTTGCACAATACGTTGAATTGTGCACTTCAGATACCATAGGCCAATGGCTAAATCAGTAGCCCTGTACAAATATTACATTAACTCTGAGAAACATTTCTTGTACTACTCTGATAAGTTTAAAATACTTCTGACAGAGAGAATGCTGCAACCAATTTAAAATAAGAATAGCCTACTTTTCCCTCTTGAGCTGCATCCTTGTGGCCATTGCCGTCTTGTTGGCCAATGCTCTCCTCCAGTGGTGACTTTGTGCAACTGCATATATGCAAATTAAACGTGTAGTCATGTCAGTAACGTAGTTCAGAGGTCACAGTTCACAGTACGTAGCCTGAAACATTAAACACCCTCTGTCTTGTTGTTGTTGTTGTTGTGCATGTTCTTCAAATGTTCCATTTGCAGGAGCCTGAACAGTCCATATAATCATCTGTTTTAAATGTATTTAACGTGATGGCGTGACTCTTATACCGTGGGTGGCTTCTTGAGGCCATTGTCCAAAGGTGCTACTTTAAGAGGTTCTGTTTTAAGTGGGCTGGTTCCGAGCTCTTTATTCATTAATAAACTAATTGGTCATTTTGTTTCACATTAGCGTTGTGTGCTCAGCTAATCTGTTCCACTTAAATAGTTGGAAAAATTCACCCCATTATAACGAGATGGAGAAAGTAGCACGTCTATGCGTTTGTGCCACCTGCGTGAGAAGTGCTGTAGCTTAGCCACCTGTACAGATTCCCGCTCCTCCAGCGCGCCCTCTACGCATAAACAAACATCCCCCACACCCACGCACCGAACCACACTTGCTAATTAACTACAAGAAAGTGAGTTTTTTTTGTTCCCCACCCCCCACCCCCATATGCCAGCATCATAGATACTAGAGTCTGGTCCAAAATGCACAACCTGACTGGGTTTATAGCCCATATGAAGGTAAGTCTATTCAAATTAAGACTGTAAGGTGTCTGGTGTTTGGTTCATGTTTGCGAGTAGATACAGGATTAGTTTATTCTGGGTTGTGTGTATAGCTGTATTGCTGCTTGTGTCTAAGGGTTAATGAGTAATTAACTAAAAATAGAAGAAACATCTCCCACATCAGCTTTCTCTAGCTTACAGCCTCGCGCCCTCTGGATATAGACTACCTGCCTTACGTTGCTTAACGGCGTGTGAACCGGCAGTGTTATTTCCGTTTATTATAAAGGCAGGGGCACTTTCCTCTGATACCTTTCTTTTCTTTTTCAGAGAAATTGTCCAAACGCCAGGATGAGGGCTTCTCACAGCAGCAGAGCCCGTGTCAGGATCCTTTGTGCCCCAAACGCGGCCCATTCATGCGCAGACAAAGCGCAGGTCCCACTTCAAACGCGGTAATGAAAGCTAATGACTATTAGATGGAGTAGGGCCCTCGCATCTACAAATAACACGCAATAAAAGGGTCTGTTTGAGTGAAGTGCACTCTCCCATTGGACCACTGCGGCTTACTGGTCTCCATGAGAACTTTCACACCTCCAGTGCTACAATACAATCTAACGAGGCTATGGTGTAGTCTACACGGGCACCTGATCCTTTACTCTGTAGGCTGTATTAGTATATTTTAATTAGCTATTTATCTTCATTTTTGATAGCATTTTTTATCTTTTACTGCTGTTCTTGAACTTTGCGTTGCAACAATGGAATTTGCCCTTAGAGGAACAAATAAAGGTTCTGTTAACTTGCAGATTAAAATAGCCCACTATGCTTTATTTTAAACAGTTAAACCTGACTTGATTTTAGGTGCATTTACTTTAGTGGGTTTTCTGATACCTGCTTGTCTTTGTGTAGACTATTGCTTTGTTAGCAATGTTCAGTAACAAAGTTACAGGTCAGATCTGTGGAGAGGTGACCTCGTTCACAGTAAGAATGCTTTATGCTTGATGCTTGATATCTTTGGTAATGAAAACATCTTGAATAAATGCAAGATAGTTTGTTTAGTTTAATGTCATACTGTGGAACTTAAGTCAAATAATAACATATGCTGTATGTGGACACAAGCAGGTGG